AGCAATACAGCTTAAATTGCGGAATCTAAAGGAGACGAGCAGTCACAGGATTGCTATCAGAACGACCTTTTCAGTTGTTATCTTAATTGTACTTACTATGGTTGCTAAGGTTATGACACATTATGGCCGTTGTTGTCGTTATTATATCAGTCAGTTACCACCGCTTCTTATCACACCCTTAGTGTTGCACTACTGTTACTACCGTTACAATGTTACTATCATGTCTGCTGTTGCTGTTACCGTAACTCACTGTTCAGTGTCGTAAAGGGGTTGTTTAGCTGCTACCATTGGGAGAATAGGGCTTCAGGGATGAGCAAAGCCCTGTTGTAGGAGGGGTTTAGAGTCAGGTGACCCCGTTTAAGTCACAACTAGTGGGTGCACAGCCATGTTGTCCGCGAGATGATACCGAAGCGCGCCTCGCATGGGCCGCCTTCCAAGACTTCACCATGAATGTTGCTGCTATCTGGACTTTCGCAGACTTTTCTGGCTCTTGACTTCGGCCCACCTTCAATCACATGCACAAAGCAGTGGGTTAGAGCCAGATCGTGCGTACCCGGACTGGTATGCTGGGATTGCAAAGAACTGGGCCTGTTGATTGTCTCCTGCTGGGATGTGCATGGCACACGTCACCCATGAAGTCTTTGATCTGGTCGTCGTACAAACGGAAGTTGATGTTGTCTTCGTGTTGTTCGTCATCTGCATGTGGCCATGGCCACACAACGCGTGCTCGCAGCTCAGCACACATCTGCAGCCACAATGCGTGCGGCACAGTCAACGGAGTCATTCGCGTCCTTTCAAAAATCCACGCACATCCACGTCCGGAGACCGGCTTGCCGCATCCGTTAGTGTCGCAGAGGCCGAATCGGAGGTCACCCCAGCACTCAATTCTTTGCAGGATGACACCTCCGGCCAGAGGCAGGCGAACCTTCCAGGTGGGACAGCTTATTATTTGAGTTGCAGGTTGATCTACAAAATTGATCGGCAGGGGACCATTCTTTCGTACAAAGAGACCCTAACACATCCTAAACAAACAAAGGAACCTGCCTTAGAGCTTAGTGCTTTGTGTTAAAGAACCCACAAAAATGGAGTCACCGGGATTGCTGTCTGTTTGAGTTTCGGACTAGTGTTTGAAAGTCAAAACTCAGGGTTTCAGGGCTTGCTGAGTTCGGGCGGATGTGAGGCGGTTGTTTCAGTTCTAGATTTCACAGTTTTGCAGGCGTTCAGCTTTGCTTTGAAAGGTGGCCCGGCCCCATGGAGCTGTTTTTCTTTCGCTGTTTTCAAATGACAGGTGCCGGGAAGCCTGAATGCAAGTACTTCAGCAGCCATGAAATACGGCATGCCAAAGTCGTTTACTCCGTGACCTTATGGTACCACGATGTTTCCGATCTTCTGATATCTATTCTTGCACATATATATATATATATATATACATGCACACATACACACATAGGACCGTGAACCCCAGAAGGGCTTGCAGGGGACCGGTCGGCTTCCGGGTTTAGGGGTGTTGCTGCCTTTCCCAAACCAAACCTTAGGTTCTATTCGTTAGTTCCAAGGGTATCGGGAGGGACCCTTAAAAAGGACCCCTAGGTATATACCCTTACTATAGCCGTTATATACCCATTATATAGCCCATTGTAGGGTAGGGGTCCCCATTAAGGGTCCCTCCTTTTCCCCTTTGATTAATGTAGGGTTCTATTCGTTAATGTAGGGGCCTAAATAATGGCCAATACTAATTTTGGGGGTTCCTTAGTATGAATAAAGTGTAACGGGCCCCTAAACCCTACTGCAACTATTAAGGCCCCTGTAGTATGCCCGAAAGCCCTTCGGGGCTGAAGCTTCAAAATCTGAACCCCGGAACAGCTGCCTTGACCCTACCCTCTAGACTTCCCAGAAACTCCAATATCCCTAGGGGTTCCTTTAAAGGGATCCTTAGGGCCTTAGGGGTTCCTTTAAGGGATCTATAGGGTTTAGGGTTTAGGGGACTCCAATATCCCTTAATTAAGGAATATTCCTTAAATTATGGTAGAAACCCTTATATGATTTAAGGTATATTCCTTAATTAAGGGATATTGGAGTCTCTGGGTTTAGTCCTTTTCAACCCATGACACAGCCCCTGTACGCGTCCCAAACCCAACAAACCCTCCAAAGCTCGTCAACACACAGAATATAGTGGCCAAATTCATTACCCTTAGTATAACTATGGTATAATATGCCCCTGGACCGTATATTGCCGAAGCTCAAATTTTGCAGGTTTCCTCGGGCTGCTGACACGCTGCCCGCCGGATCCTCTGCTTCGGGTCGAAAGGAGGTCGTAGAAGTTCGCAGGCTATTCAGGGCTTCAGGGCATGAAGGTAGAGGGTTTATGCTAATACCAGGCCCAAACCCTCAGCTTGACTTCGGAGCTGGGGTTCAGGCTTCAGGAAGGTTTTGAGGCTTCAGTGCTTGACAGGGTTTAGGGTTTAGGGTTTCAGCTGTTGAGGCAGGCGATTTCATAAGCGCAGTACATCGGGGCCATCCCCGAAGCTCTGAAAGCCTTGAATCCTAAGCTTCCCTAGTCACGAAGTCTAAGTCGTCGGCCCCAAGCCTTAAACCCTGGATCCTAAGCCCAAAGCCATGAAGCCGAAAGATGAAGACTTGGACTCAGAGCCCACCCGATCTTCTGATCCTTCACGCATACCCAGATGCATCGCAGCATGTGAACTCCACCTACCAAGCCGAAGCCCAACAGTTTCAAGGCCATTGCCCGAAGCCTTAACTTAGAGTTGAGTAGGTAACTTTATGGAATCCTACCATACTCTCAAGCGTTAACCTTCTGTGGGCTAGGGTATTCAGCCCCTAAGTTAAGAAAAAACTCATGATCTTAGATCCACCGCAGGCTTGTGCAGGGCGGCATCGCCAGCACGGTGCTGGAATCGGCATCGGACAGTGGGGAGGGGTGCCGGGGATCGACGCAAGCCTGAACCTCCCAAGCCCCGCGGGTGATCCTTAAAGGGATCTATAGGGATTTGGGCTCTGAGGACTCATATTTTATAAGGCTTTTGGGTCCAAAGACCATACTATACCAAAGGGCTCCAAAAGGGATCTATAGTAGGGTTCTAGAATTATAATTTAGGTGCCTTAACGATTAGAATAGTGGAAGTCAGCAGTCATGGCAGCAGGGGCGATGGTCGTAACAATAGCAACTGTGATCATGGCAATGATGGGAATGAGCGTCTGCGCGTCAGAGCTGAAAAACATGTTTAACTATTCAGCAGCTATTCAACAGCAATAAGTTAGTCAAGAACAGGTATAGTCATAAGCACAACCATTTTTGAAAGTGAACGTCGAATCGCAAATGTGCATTGCCGGATGTTTGTGTGCAGCAAACCTGCAAAACAAATGTAAAACGCACAGCTGCGCATGTGTTGGTTCATGCCAGGGAGATATCTGTCGGTGATCAGTGATAACAGATACCACACCAAAATCTTATGGGCCACCACTCACTCCCGACAGAACAGCTGTGATCCCGAAACACCCCCTAAACCCTACACCCTAAACTTAAAACCCCTGAACTCTACACCCTAAACCTTAAACCCTACACCCTAAACCCCCTAAATCCGAACCCAAACTGAAACCCAAGCCCAAAGCATGAAACCCTAAGCCTGTATCCCGAAGCTGCATGCTGTGAGCCTTAAATCCTGAACCCAGGGTTCCGAGCTTGCGAGGTTCGGGTATTGCGTGTGCAGGGATAAAGCTTCAGAGGTGTACGAGTTTGTTCGAGGTTTCAAGTTTCAGCGTTTGATGACTGAGGCGCCTTGAGGTTTGCATTTTTTAGCGTTTTCGTCGGGAGTTCGGGTATTAGGAGTTTCGGGCTGTAGAGGCTAGGGCTTCGTTGTTTTTGGGTTAGGGTTTTGGGCTTAGGTTTAGGATTTAGGGTTTAGGGTTTGGGGGGGTTTTTGAGTTTATGCTTCGTGATGCTCAAGGCACGCAAGGATACGGAGCTGCATGCCTGTGGAAGTCGCAAAGGTTTGGGTTCAGGTATTCTTGTGTTTTTGAGGAGTTGCATTAACACTGCAAGCGATGCTATTATTGATACTAACACCACGTACGATGCTCATTTGGGAATTTCCGAAAATAGGGGACCCTAATCTGGTTCCCCAATTTGTAGGATCCGTACTAGAAGGACTCCAGAATAGGGCACCCCCCCAATTTTCGGAAACTCCCATGTTGATGACGTTGGGTTAGTGGTGCGCATCCCGGCTTTGGCTCAGCGCTTGCCTTCTTCGTAGGCTGCCGCCCCTCAACGCCCAAACCCTAAACCCTATATGCCCTATACTCAACCCTAAACCCCGAAACCCTAAACCCCGAATTCCTAAACCCTAGATACTGCAAACCCTAAACCCTAAACCCCGAAACCCTGAACCCCGAAATCCTAAACCCTAGATACTCCAAACCCTAAACCCTAAACCCCGAAACCCTGAACCCCGAAATCCTAAACCCTAGATACTCCAAACCCTAAGCCCTAAACCCCGAAACCCTGAGCCCCATAATTACCCAGAGCCCCGAAGCCCCTAAAACTTCTCCTGTGCTCGACCGCTTGAACATTCCCGGCGAGCTAGATGAGCGGAATCCGAATTTTTTCCCCGGTTAGATCTTTATAGAGCTCTGAAGACTTGGTCAGAATACCCCTCCGGTAGTCCTTACACAATGTAAGCTTTCTACAGCATCCCCCGCGAAATCAAGGCACCTGTGCATAAACTCGGAACTCTAGATCAAAGAGCCCTTATCAACATTCTCAGCGACTGGTGCCGGAAAGTTTCGCAGGCAGACGGCCAGGTTTAGGGTTTACGGTTTAGGGTTTACGGTCTGGGGTTTAGGGTTCACGGTTTAGGGTGCAAGTTTCGGGTTCTTGAAATACGGGGTGCCGTGGTTGTCCTTACACGAGAGGTAGGGCCTCTTGAATAGCCTCCGAAACTCCCAAAACACCCGCATGTGCCGGCTTCTGTCTTGGCCTTGGCATGCGAAGCATGCCTGCGCGCTCGCACTCCGCTGTGCTATGGCGAGGTCTCCGGTATCTGTGGTTCCATTTCCTTTTCTTGGCTCTTGTTTACTGGCGGATCCCTCCTGAAACTTGCGGTCCTGGGAAGCAGGGGCCACTGCGGCTGCTGCGCCAACAGGCGGGGCTGGAGCTTCGGACGAAGATCAACAATCCGAACATGAGCTTCAGTGCAGAGGCCAGGCGCCTCATCCCGCAGATCGCGAACGCCCGGGAGCGGGGAGACTGGCGGAAGGTCTCAGTAGCTGAGTGGATACACTTTACACCTTTTTGGGATAATATTAACCACTATAGCACTAAAAGCGCCCACCTTTTTGGGGCTTATACCCCAAACCCTAAACCCTAAGCCTTTAAGAGGTGGGGAACCTCTTTGAGAGCTATACCGGCACGGAGCTTCCTGTCTTTCATGCGGTGCTCCACGCTGCCTACAGCTGCGGCCAATACCGGGCCGGTGCGAAAATCTATGGGAAGATCTGCGATTTGAACATAACCCAGGACGCTTTACATATATATATATATATATGTACATATATAAAGTAATCACAACAATAGTAATAGTACTAAGAATAAGACTAATTGTAATGTAACAACAGTAACAATAACAATAAGAATAAGAACCATATATTACATAATAACGTATATAAAAACAGTATACGTACATGAACATAACCCAGGACGCAGCTTCCTTTGCAACTGCCATGAAAGTCTTCGCGAAGCTGCGGCAGCCGTCGCGTGTTCGCGAGATCCTGGGTTCTTATGGGATGTAGTTTAAGTTACCATAGTAGGGATCTATAGCGAATAACTAATATGATTTCCTTGTTATGGTAACTTAAGCAAATCCAATAGTTACCCTTAAATGAAGCCTTATAGATCCCTTACAGGAGCCCTTATATCTCCCACATTATGGCAACTTATATTAATATCCTTAACACGAACCCAGAGAGCCCAATACCCCTTAATTAAGGAATGTACCTTAAACTATAAAGTGGGAGTTCATATTATGATTTAAGCTATCTTCCTTAATTAAGGGGTACTGGGCTCTCTGGGAGCCCAGGATATGAAGCCTAATAGACCCCTTAAAGGAACCCTTATATGTCCCCATCATGGTATATAAACTTAAACTATATCCTTAACAAGAGCCCAGGATCTGGTCCGAGGCCCGGCTGTCCTGCGACCTCGGCGAGTTGCTCGCGGCCGCTCGTATCGATGCAGCTGCAGCCGAGGGGGACATCGAAACGGCGGCGGGGATCCTCGATGAGATGAACCGCACCGGAGCGTCTGGGGTCTTCTTAAAGGGAACTCCAGAAAGTTGGAATATGGATTAATGGTAGGATCCCCAATAATTTACCTTAAAGGGGTTACGATAATGATATTCCAACTTTCTGGCTTCTTCTTTAGGGATTTAGTTCAAGTTGATTGCCATAATCTAGGGCTCCTTTACGGGTTCTACAAGGATTTAGCGTTTAGGTTCTTCTTAAGGGATTTAGTTTATGTTACCATATTCTGGGGTTCCTGTACACGTTCTACAAGGGTTGAGGGTTTAGGTTCTTGTTAAGGGTCTTCTTCTATTTTAACTTACCATAACAAGGAAACCATATTATTTACTCTAGACCCGTATTATGATAACTTCAACTAGATTCCCTAACAGAGCCGAGGTGTCCATCAACATAGCGCACGTCACCTCCGCCATCCGAGCCTGCTGGGAGTCGAACCGCTCGAGCCACCATGCTGCGGGCTTTCTCTTCAACTGGGCTCTGGAGATGGACCTGCAGCCAAACGTTGCCCGGTCGCGGTCTGGGAGAACTATTGATTTCCCTTATGGTGTATTGACAGAGCCCTAAGTATAATGAATTTTGGGACGGCTGAAATCGACACCTAGTAGATCTAGACTTTAGAAACCCAGGATAAGGAACTCTGAATGAGGGTGGGAAATCGATTTGGCATAATTCTTAATGCCCAAATATGAGCCTAGTTCCAGTTTAGTATAGAGCTTTAATCAGTATCTATTTTGTTGAATTTTCTTGAAATCGATAGCAAAGGTTGTCACCTTCCCGTATTGTTTAAAATAGAGCCCTACTTAGAGTTCAATATTTAGTCATAATCAATGTTGGTGAGTTTTTGTGAAGTCGACAGCAAAGGTTGTCACCTTCCCCTATGCAAATATATATATATATATATATATCATAATATATATATATATATATATATATATATATCATAATAAGGAACCCTAAATGAGACTGGGAAATCGACAGCAGAGGTTGTCACCTTCACCTGTTTGATGGGAGCCTTTGCCCGGGCTCCCCTTGCCAAGGTGCTGCAGGCCCACGAGACGATGCTGGGCGGGTTTTCTTGAGGATCTTAGTTTTGAGTTACCCTAAAAGTAGCAATAGTTCTGATAAGACCAACATTTAAGTTACCCTAAACGTGGCAAAAAATGTGTAATAGCACAAAAACAGTAGTAATACTATTAAGGAAGCCTTGTTATTCACCATAGATCCCTGTTATGGTGACTTGGAGCATATAAGCTTCTTAACCCCTAAAGCCTTGCAACCCCGAGCTATGGCAACCAAAGATGCTCTAGGTTCCTTTCCCTAAACCCTAAACCCTAAGCTGTAAACCCTAAAGACCCTAAACCCTAAACCACTTTTTTGTTCGTTGGTTGCTGGGGATTCTACTTCGATGTTCATGGGTAGTTACATGGGTGTTTTTTTTTCAAAATTATGGTCTTTTTTGGGTCCTGATTATGATACGGTACCTAACATATAGGGCACCCGAAAAAAGTGGCCATAAATTTGACAACTACACATGCAAGAGGGGTTAGAAGGCTTGCAGCTGGCTGATAACTATCACTATCCTGCTGATAAGCCTACTTAGAACTACACAAAACCCCTAAACCCTATGGAGCCTTAAGCCCCTTCTAACCCCTAGTTCTAACTACCAAAGTACCTCCAAGCAGCCCCAAATTAAGGTACCACAAATTTTCGGAAACTCCCATTTAGTTCCTGAACAAAGATCTCAGGATGAGAAAGCTGGAGGTGAAAGCAAACAAGGCCTTCGCAGAAGTCTACCTCAACACGCTGCTGCAAATTACCAAGGAGGAGCCGGATTTTAGGTTTTAGGGTTTATGAGTTAATGAGTTAGGGTTCAGGCTTTAGGGTTTAGGGTTTATGGATTAGGGTTCCGGGTTTGGGGTTTGGTAGGTATTTTCGTTTCAGGGTTTCTGTGAGCGCGTCATGGACTTTGCTTCGGGGTCCTGGTCTTACGCAACCAGGGCCTGGGAGCCGCTGGTTGCTCCCATAGGGGCCTTCTAATTAGAGTAGGGTTTTGGGGCCCAATAGTCTATAATTCTAATAGGGAGCCCCTAAATGGGAGTTTCCGAAAATAGGGGACCCTAAGATAGTACACTAAATAGTAGGATCCTTATTATAAGGACCCCCAAACAAGGTACCCCTAATTTTCGGAAACTCCCAAATGGTACAGGTACTTATTCGGGCCTTTGTTGCTCCTGGGGCTGGTGAAGGCGGAGAAGAACGGATGCCATCCTAAGTGCGAAACCCCAAACCCAACCCCGGGCCGTCCCCCCAACATACCTGATGAAAATCCGAATATCCAACTCTTCTATAAAGTTCTGACATGCGCTCCCAGCGCACAGCGTCTTCGTTAGGAGTTCAGTTCCCGGATTTTTTGTTGTAGAGATGAATGCATATATCTCGCCCGGATGGTCTGCAGAGATTTCTTGCACAAGCCCGAAACCCCTACTCAAAGAAACGTAAGAATTCCCTGCATAAACTCTACACCCTAATCCTGCATCCTCATCCCAAAACCTCAACCCTAAACCCTGAACCCTCGAAAGTGGCTTTCAGGAGTGGCAGGGCCTCAACTCGATTCAGGACATCCAGTGGGTGCTTCATATAGCGGCCTCAGTAGTGAGAACTTGGCATGGGGATATGAAAGAATGCCCTAAAATGAAGAACCACGAGGACTAGCGTTGGTAACTATGCAAGCCACGTATATGGGTGGTTGTCAAAATTATGGTCCCTTGTTGGTTCCCCATCATAAAACGCACCGATGATTTAGAGTACCCAGAAAGGGACCATAGTTTTGACAACCACCCAAATATGGGAGTTTCCGAAAATAGGGGACCCTACTATAGTACCTACATAGCAGGATCCTTATTATAAGGACACCCAAAATGAAGGTCCAGGGCTTCTGGTCAGGAAATGGCCCAGCGCTTGTCTTGCCGAACCCTGGCGAGACGCCAGGCGGCCACGAAGGCCTTGGAGGAGTTGGGTTCCTTTAAAAGATCTATCGGGGATCTATAGGGTTAGGGAATATTCCTTGAACCATATTTGGGATCCTAGTAAAATTCCGGGGATATTCACCTACTCCTACTTGTAAAAATCATCAGCATTACGATTATTCCTGCAAATAGCAGGAGCAGCAGTCGCAGCAGTCCTCCTCCTGCTGTTACTACTACTACTACTACTACTACTACTACTACTACTACTACTACTACTACTACTACTACTACTACTACTACTACTGCTACTGCTGCTACTACTACTACTACTACTACTACGGCTACGGCTACGGCTACGGCTACGGCTACGGCTACGGCTACGGCTACGGCTACGGCTACGGCTACGGCTACGGCTACGGCTGCGGCTACGGCTACGGCTACGGCTACGGCTACGGCTACGGCTACGGCTACGGCTACGGCTACGGCTACGGCTACGGCTACGACGACTACTGCTGCTACTACTACGACTACAATCACTTGTATTAACAAGAATAACCATCACACTATCAACAATAGTAGTCATCATAACACTGCGAATAAAATACAAACAATAACAATAGTAGAAATTATATCAAGAGTAAAGCCAACAACAGTAATAACTATGACAATAATGATAGCACTAAGAATGACTGTAATAACAGTAGTACCACGACTTCTGCCGGCTTCAGGAGTTCAGCATCGACGGCGTCGTCGTCACCACGCTCAGCAGCAACATCGAGCGAGCTCTGAAACGACTTCCGGCGGACTCCGAGACCCGATAAGCCTTGTAATGCTAAAGGTTACAGGTTTAGGGTTTTGGAGTTTAGGGTCTAGGGGTTTAGAGGTTTAGGGGTGTAGGGTGGGGTGTGTTCAGGGGAATACGCCCTGAAGCAGGGGAATAAGCTCTAAAGATAGAGCAATCTACCTACGCAGCACTCACAAGAAGCCCAGGGTTTAGGGTTTAGGGTTTAGGGGTTTAGGGTTTAGGGTTTAGGGTTTAGGATATAGGGTTTAGTTGAGGTTCTAGTCGAAAGTGAAGCAATTATGGTGCCTCGCAACAAGGGTCTGAGACTTCTTTCCAGTTGTTTTGGCATACCTTAAAGTCGGCCCCAAGTCTCAAGCTGCTACTCTCCCAACAGAATTTAAATCCTGAAAAGGCTGATCTGAAGTAGGATCTTTGGCTGGAATAGAAGCTTACCAGTCTTCAATCGCAGGCCTGATTGCTCTCCACAGTAGCCAACTTAAGCCATAAATAAACCTTTTTGGTAGTACCCTTGCTGAACCTTTACACTTATAGTAAACCTACAGCTTAGAACCCGTATAGAACCTTGTATAGACTTTGAGCAGGTTTGAAGGAGGCTGGAGAAAGCAGCTACAGCAGTCGGGGTTTGGGATGGTTTAGGGTTTCGGGAGGAAGAAGCAGTCACAGCAGCGCTGCACGATAGCTTGAGCTTGCGGCAAAGATCCGCGCCGGGCTGCATGCAAAACGATGCGCGGTTTTCCAGTGATTGGAAACCCTAAACCCTAGACCCTAAACCCTAAACCCTAAACCCTAAACCCTAAACCCTAAACCCTAAACCCTAAACCGGTTTGGGACCTTTGCTTGAGGGTTTGGGACCTTGGGCTTTCGGGTGGTCGCGTCTCACGCCAACTCAAACCCCAAATTCGCCAGACTCCCAAACTTACCTTCGGTTAGTAGGGAATGGAGGAATGGGGTGCAATTATAACTACTATTACTACCATTCTTCCATTCCCTACTAACCAAAGGTAAGCAAATTCGCCAGACTCCCAAGGCCCAAGCCAGAGACTGCATCTGCTGCCTTGAAGCCCGGCACAACCTCATCGTAGACACCTGAGAAAGCCCTTAGGAGCACCCTAAACCCTAAATCCCTACAACTCTAAACCCCTACAGCCCTAAACCCTAAACCCTAACCCCCAGAACCCTAAACCCTAAACCCTCTTCTCTGCGGGTCTCCGGGAAGGACCAGTTCATGTTCTTCGATACGCGCGAAGAGATGGAGGCCGGGCTAATGCCTTCCTTTCCTTGGGTTAGTATAAGGGTTAGTATAAGGGATCTATATGGGTACTATAATATAGGGGCCTTAATAAGCCTATAACTTACCTTTGGTTAGTAGGGAATGGAGGAATCGGGTACAGTTATAGCTACTATTACTACCATTCTTCCATTCCCTACTAACCAAAGGTAAGCTAGGGGGTCTTTGTTGAAGTTGTTTAGAGTCATAGAGGTTTACTGCGATGTTCTACGGTTTCATGGGGCTTTTGCTTAGATCACATAAGAGCATGTAATGACGCAGACCCTCTGATGAAAAAACGCACCCTGCCCTAAAGGGTTTTTAGCAGGCATCCGAACATTACGGCTGTCAGAAGATTGGGATTTCTACTTCGCTTAAAAACTGAAGTAGTGCGATGTGGCTGCCCCAAGCAGTGTGGCACATACATACCATGGGGTTTCCACCTTTTGTCATCGCGGTGTCCTTGGGGTCTCCAGTCTCCTCGTGGTCTGGGGGTAGTCTGCTGCGGTCTCCTAGTGGTCTCTCGGTGGGCTGGTGGTCTTCGGGTGGTTTCCAGGTGGTCTCGTAGAGTCTTGTGGCGGTCTCGTGATCGTTGTCGTGGTCGTGATCGTCCGAGTCGTGCTGGTCCTGCCTGGTCGGCCAGGTGCCCGATCACTGTTTAAGGACCTACACGGGCTGTCTAATTAGGTGAGGTGCCCAGAGACTCCAATATCCCTTAATTAAGGAATATTCCTTAAATCATATTAGGGATCCTACTATAATTTAAGGAATATTCCTTCACTAAGGGATATTGGAGTCCCCTAAACCCTAAACCCTAGAGATCCCTTAAAGGAACCCCTAAGGATCCCTGATATTGGAGTCTCTGGGTGTTTGTGTGTATTGGTTTTGACCGGACGATCTCTGGCACAGTGAAAGATATTCCTGATGTCAACAGCATCTGCCTTGCAGGATTGAGGGTTTAGGGTTTTGGGTTTAGGGTTTTGGGTTTAGGGTTTAGGGTTTAGGGTTTGGGGTTTAGGGTTTAGGGTTTGGGGTTTAGGGTTTAGGGTTTAGGGTTTGAGTACGAAACAATGACGAACGAAGAAGGTTTGTTTCATTCATGTACTGAAACTTCAATCGGAGAGAGCGTCGAGCCCATCCCGCTGCTACAAGCCTGGAATTTTTTCACCAGGGCCCAAGTACTGTACTCAAGCGTATGCGTAACAGTGTGCAGTATGCATTGAGTTTCTACGTAAACCTGAAGCCGTAAGCTTTAGTCCTTAAACTCTAAGGCCCCGCAGAGTCCTAAACCCTACATAGCAGAGCCCACGCGCTTCACAGCCTAGACTAGTACACTACAGCTGCAGTCACCTGTGGTAGACCTTAGGGTTTAGGGTTTAGGGTCAGGGTTTTATCTTGAACCGGGTTGGTCAGTCTTCGGTTTCTGCGCACATCGGCACGGGCTCTCCTTGCTAGGGTCAGTGGAAAGGGGGAAAGAGGGAACTTCCGACCGCCTGGTACGACCTCTACATGAAATGCTTATGCAGCCCCTTATAAAGACCCTAAATCCTAAATCCCAAATCCTAAACCCTATATGAACCCTATGACACCTACACCATAAACTTCAAATAATACCTAAGCGCTAAACCGCACTTTTGCAATGGAGCAGGACTTCGCGCGCCGCCAGCCGGATGAGGTGCTGATGGCCTCACAGACTTGTTTGATAGCGTTCCTGATAATCGCAATAACAGAATAGCAGCAACACTAACCGTCAGAGTGATAATAGCAGTACCAATAACGGCAACAATATTTTCATAATACTGATGAATTATTCCTGTACATATTAGTACTTATACTTTAGTCAGAAGAGGAAGACTAATGATGCAGACCTCTATTCCTCAGGGTCCATTATTGTACAACAGAGCCCGGAACAAGTAGCAACATTATTCCCTACAGTCGGGTTCCTGTTATCACCTGGACCCCGCAACAAGTAGCAAGAGTATTCCCGGGGTCCCTTTTACAGTACAGACACCGGAATAACTAACCATTGATATTGGAGGAGCTAAGGAGCCAGGGGTGATGATAATCCCTGCTTAAAAGGAGCCAAAGAGCCAAGGGATTGGTTAGAATTCATCGGAAGATTACTCTTTAATGTTCCGAGCAGCCCAGGTTTCCAACAGCTTCGGCGTCGATTTTTTGTTCTAAACCCCAAAGCCCTTAACGAAAGGAAAAGGGAGACCAGGTAGGCCTAACAGAAAGAACCCTAACCCCTAAACCCTAAACCCTAAACCCTAAACCCCTAAACCCAAAACCCCTAAACCCTAAACCCTAAACCCTAACCCCTAAACCCTAAACCCCTAAACCCTAAACCCCTAAACCCTAAACCCTAAACCCTAGAAAGACCTCAAGGAGGTTCAGGGTCTCTTGGTTGCGGTAAACTCGAACAGCCCTGCAGTGTCTTCTATCGTAAGCCTGTGCCTACTTTCTGAAAGCCCGCCGAATTTACGAAGCCCTACCAAATTCTCCAAAGCCCACAGATCCCGAAGCTTAAGCCCGTCCCATAGTAGAAGCCTTGTAGAAGCTTTGGTGGACGTCAAAGTGCAACAAAGCCTAATTGTCCCGGTGACTTTCATCATGAAGCCCTGAGCCTTGAACCCTGAACTCCCTAAACCCTCAACCCCTAAACCCTCAACCCCTAACCCTAAACTCCCTAAACCCTAAACTCCCTAAACCCTCAACCCCTAACCCTAAACTCCCTAAACCCTCAACCCCTAAACCCTCAACCCCTAACCCTAAACTCCCTAAACCCTCAACCCCTAAACCCTCAACCCCTAAACCCTAAACTCCCTAAACCCTCAACCCCCTAAACCCTGACTTCTGCACTCCTAAACCCTAAGTTTCCTCAGCTCTAGACGATTGCACCCTTGAGTCTTGAGGACCAATGGCCTGGGCTCTTGTTAAGCATTTGGCTTAATTTTCCAGAATAAGGGGAGGCCTGTTTTTTTCTTTAGATCCGCGCGATGGTAATCTTGGTGCATTTACGAACTTTGCTTAGGTTTCTGTAACCATGAAACCCTCCCCGTATTTGTGTTACTATAGGTCCCTACGATGGTTTCTTAATTTGTGTGAAATGAATCCCTTACCAAGATTCCTGCTGCCGCAGCCAGGCCATTGAGTTCCGGTCCGCTGACGGCAACGGCCAGGGGCCAAGCCTCAAACGCAGACGCGTCGGCCGTCGGTTTAGTGTTTTTTTTTTTTTTTTTTTTTTTTTCCCGTTTTGCTCTTTGTTAAGCATCTGTTTCTTCGTTTCTGCTACTTCCACAAGCATCTGCTTGCACATGTTTGTTAAGGGTCTTGTTCGGAAGGGATTCTTAAGACTAGGTTTTGAGGCTAGGTCTGTCGATTTCGGATCTAGGTTCCAAAAAGGTTTTATAGGCTTTAGGGTTTAGGGTTCCAACACGGGGCCTTTTGGGAATCTTGGTTCGGCCGGTAGTGTCATATAGTTTTCTTGACATATCCCTGCCACTGGAGGTAATTATAGTCTCCTTAGGAATTATCGTCATGTTTCTTCATGTAAAACCCAAGAGAATATTAAGTATATCATTTTATTATGGTTCTAAGGGGGGGGGGGGGTATAGGTCGTCTCGGGCCAAGCTCTGATGAGAGATGTACCGGTGGGCCCGTTGTTTAGTGTGGCATTTGGGGATTGGGTTTCTCTAGAACGCAGGGTTTGGGTTTGGGGAAGCTTTTCGGTTGAGTTCGACTGGGGGTCGGAGATGGGTCGGGATCAGTGCAGTGTCGTTTTTGGTGTAGCAGTTGTTTATACGGGTTCCCGAGTGTTTTTGTATTCTTTTTCTTGAGTTTCACAAGGGTTCTAAAGGGTTCCATAGGGTTTTGTGTCTCAGGATTGGTCAGAGAAGTTCATTGCTATTTGTGGCTTTGACTGGTCGGAGACTCGCTGCCATGCAATAGAAGCTTAAACCAACCAATTACCAATACTACGCCGGGGATTCTTTGTTGTAGTTAGAGTATAGTATTAAACTGCATACTGTATAACTCCCCTAAAGGTTTCCAATTCTATACTGAACCGAACTGCCCAAGGCAACTTCCCGGCAGATCGCATGGATGCCGAGTTCTCGATCAGGGCGCTGAGCTCAGCAAGAAAGATCCTAGTCCAATGTTTATTTTTTTTTTGTTGGGGGGGGGGTCTGGGGTTTAAGGTCTAGGATATCGGGCTTAGGGTTTAGGGTCAAGGGCATTGGATTTAGGGGTTTTGATTCTTCGGACTTCGGGTCTAGGGCTTAAGGCTTGAGGATTGAAGGCTTAGGACTTAAGCTTCCGGGGTCTAGGGCTTGAAGCTTAAGATTCAGGGCTTGGGGTTTAAGGGGGAGATCCTAAGTAATCCGATAGCGTGTTGTTTTAGGCGTTTATCAATGGCTTAAAGCATTGGCTGCGCTTTCGGGGGATGTTATCAGGACCTTCGTAAGTATAAGATTCCTTTGGGTACAAATGCTGTAACAATGTCGGGACTACAAGGGCATGCATTTATCAGCTGTTCAAGTCCAGAAGTTAGGTTCCGTTTTGAGGCCCTGGGCTTTCTGGGCTTTGGCTACGGCTTCAGGATTTAAGAAGCTGGATCCTGCAAATTGGGGCTGGGCTTGTGGCAAACTGTCGTCCTGAGATGCGTAGAAGCAACATGACATGATGAGTTGTTGCATCGTTTTGGGTAGCAAGAAATCTCCATGGTAGTAATGCTCATAAGTGACATTGATTGAGTTACTGAGGCGTGTGCACTTCTGGGTGCAGGGCTGTTCTATGGGGATTGAGGCATACAGACATTCGGTGTTCAGAGGTTACGGGTTGAGGCTTCAGACGTTTGGGCTCTAGAGCCACCGAATTTTGGGGCAAGGGTGGAGGAGGCTCTAGCTTCTCATCCTCTCTCTCTCTCTCTCTCTCCCTCTCTCTCTCTCTCTCTCTCTCTCTCTCTCTCTCTCTCTCTCTCTATCATCATCATCATCCTCATCACTACCACTGTTATCCTCAGCCCCAGCATGGTTGACCAGTCTCCCGGTTGCCATTCTTCGGTCTCCACCACCATTTTCGTGGCTGTTCCCTTATGGTTTTCCCGTTGCTTCGCTTCTGCTATAGGGGCCTAAATAATTTCGTACACTGTTGGGGGTTCCTTGTTATTCCTTACAGTATCATGAGGCCCAAAACCCTATGCTAATCATTAAGGCCCCTATATTGCAGAACCCTATCACAGAACTCGCATAAACTATAAACCCCTCATAGTTAGAGCCCTTTAAAGGAACCCAATTCTAATTAGTAACTAACCATTGATATTGGAGGAGCTAAGGAGCCAGGGGTGATGATAATCCCTACTTAAGAAGGAGCTAGAGAGCAAAGGGAACCCCAAAACCATTGGTTAGGTAAGGCCACTATAGTACAGGTCAATGCCCAGCTTCTACCGTCGACGTCCCGACTCATCAGGAGAGGGTCTCGGGCCCTTCTGCTTTAGGACGCCTGTTTCGGGCTTTAGTTTTAGGGTTTTGGGGTTTAGGGTTTAGGGTTTAGGGTTTAGGGACACCTTCAATAAAGCCTTTAAACCCCAAACCCTAAGCCCCTAAACCTACAAACCCTAAGCTCTGACCCCTGAACCCCTAAACGCCTACACCGCGAAACTCTGCACCCCGATTATACGGGCCTAGGGTTTCAGGTCTGGTTGCAGTCGACGCGGGAGAAGCAACACAGGGGAACATTGGTAGCGGTGTTCGCCTATAAAAATAAGCATTCTAAACTTGTCGTTGTTATTCGTCTGTTTTCTTTTGGTCTAGGCGCCTGTGTGACGAGATTGTAGCTACAACGCTTGTAAAGGGTTCCCGGAGCAGCAGCCCGCTATACAGGTGACTGAGCTCGTAGCGACTGTGACAAATACTGTGGTGTGTCATCTGAAGTCCTGGACTGACAAGGGTTCCCAGAGACTCCAATATCCCTTAATCAAGGAATATTCCTTAAATTATACTAGGATCTCTAATATGATTTAAGGAATATTCCTTAATTGAGGGATATTGGAGTCTCTGGGTTTAGTCATCTGCCACATACATGGGGTAGTTGTCAAAATTATGCACCCCTTTTTCGGTACCCAAAATATTATGTGCCGTATTATAATAAGTATCCAAAAAGGGACCATAATTTTGACAAGCACTCACATACCCTAAACCTGCATGCATCCTAAGACCTAAGGCCTGAACGCCACGTCCTAAGCCGCTCTAAGCCTTACGTCCGGAGCTCTCAAACCTTAAGCCCTGCCCTAAACCGGAAAAATCTTCCTCGCCTTCAGTCTCTTGATACTTCGGTTTAGGGTGGCGGCCATCCTGACCATCAGATACTTCGAGACACCTCAGTGAGTTCGGGCGCCACTTGAGAGAACTGCCACTGGGTCGGGGTAGAAGGTTCACTGGGTTTTTAGAGTGTTTATTGTTTAGGGTTCTGGTTCAAGAGTTTAGTTTAAAGTTACCATAGCAACCATTTTGGTTACTATGGATCCCTACAATGGTAACTTAATCTGAGAGTGGATTCCTCAGCAAGAACCCAGTTTAGGGCTTAAGGTGCGTGGTCGAAGGCTGAAGGTTTACGGCTTAACGTCTGGTGAGCTGCTTGTTTAGGGTTTAGGGTTTAGGGGTTTAGGGTTGAGGCTTTATGGTTTAGTGTGGTTCTGTCTGAAGCTACTTGGAAGTGTAGGGTTTAGAGTTTACTTGGAGGTTCATGGTTAGTTACAAGTGGGGTTATAATAGTCCCCTAATATGGGTTATAACTACGGTTATCCTACTTATAACCCTACGCATAACTAACCATGAACCTCCAAGCAGGGTTTGGGGTATGATACCCTCAACCCTAAACTCTAGTAAGTGGGTTTGGAGTCTTTGGGGGCAGTCCTGAGAGCCAGGTTCACGCGAGCGGGCTTCGTCCGTTGCCTGGAGCAAATTATGTCGATTGTACACCCAAAAGCCCTGAACACTAAATCCCCGACCCCTAAACCCTAAACCCTCCTGAACCCTAAACCCTAAATGTTTAGCCCCAAATCCTGAGTCCCGGAAGCCCTGACCACTGAACCCCAAAAGAGCCGGAACCATGAAACCCAAGAACTCGCCCTAGACACATGAGCCCTAACCCAATGGCCACTAGTTGGAGGTTGATGGGTAGTTTTAGTGGGCTCAGAAGTCTTGTAATATGGGTCTTATGACCTTACTCATAGCTACTTGGAGGGTCGCGGGACTTAGTAACTGGCTATTTTCAGGACTTATAAGTACCATAACCCCAATTAGAGTCCCTCTGAGGGTACTTATAAGTCTACTTATGTACTACCTACTTACTAAGTCCCCTAAAGACCCTCCAAGTACCCTCAACCGCCCTTTAAGGAACCCTACTCATAACCTTACTTCTAACTAACCAAAAAAAAGCCCGAAGCCAGGTGGCTGAAGTCCGCAGCCTCGGCTCCGGAACCCACCGGACCCTATAAATGTTAAACTAGGCCGGTTTAGGGTTTAGGGTTTAGGGTTTAGGAAGTTTAGGGTTTAGGGTTTAGGAAGTTTAGGGTTTAGGGTTTAGGAAGTTTAGGGTTTAGGAAGTTTAGGCTTCATAGCAAGAACCTAGAAACATGTAGCGTTCCCGTCAAAGGGCTCTACAAGGGCTGTATATCTGGCGGCCAGCTGGCAAGACCACGTTGCGGAGTTCTATAGAGAATCCCATCTCTCTCTCGCTCGCAGGCGCTTGGTCCGCCGTGCTTCGCCAGTCCTCTTCCGCGACTTCACGATACTTAAGGTATACGTGAAGTCGGACAGAACGAGACCATATTTGGGCCACCCTAAACCCTAAACCCTAAACCCTAAATGGGCCAAAGGCTGCTTTACATGGTCTGTGGTTCGAGCTGCACTGAATTGCACCAAAGCCGGCGACATCGAAGAGCTCGCCACCCGGATCAACGAGACGGAGGGCTTGGACGTCCGTGGATGAGACCTATAAATCCCAAACCCTATAAGCCCTAAACCCTAAGAGCCATAAACCCTAGAAGCGCTAAACCTATAAACCCTGAACTCTGTAAACCCAATAAACCCCAAACCTTAAACTATAAACCCCAAGCCTTGAACCCTACAAACCCTAAAGCCCGAAACCCGAAGGCTTTGTGTTCTTGCTCGCCATCCTGACCTCTGCATTGCCCAGTGGTTGTGTCCTTGAGTCTCTGCACCGGAACCACTACTTGGAGGTTCATGGGGATTTGTTCCGTTAGGCGTTCTATTGGGTTTCAGGCTTTTTGGGTAGTTGTAAGTGAAGTAGGGTAATGAGAGTTGTGACCCATTTTTCAGGACTTCTAAGCTCGCTTCCAGCTGCTCGTGGACCTCCAAGTAGACCCTAACCCTATACCCTTATAGTATCCCTATAGATCCCTGTGAAGGGACCCTTAAAGGAGCCCTTCTAGCTGCCCATGGACCTCCAAGTAGCAGCCTAATCTGCCGAAGGCTATCCGGACGCACGAGTTGGGAGCCCTCCCAAATCCTAAGCCACCCAAACGCCCTAAGTCCCTCAATCCTCAACCCTAAACCCTGAAACCCTAAACCCCAACCCCTTCAGCCCAAACCCCCTAAGTCCCTAGAGTCTAAACCCTAAAAACCCCGACCCCCTAAATCCAACCCCCCTAAGTCCCTAAGCCCCAAACCCTGAAACCCTAAACCCTAAACCCCTAAACCCCTAAACCCTAAACCCTAAACCCCCCTAAGTCCCCCCAAAACTCCACGAGCGCCGAGCCGAGGTGCAGGCAGCCGAGCACCCAAACATAAACTTTCGGGGGGGAGATCCCTATCTTTTTGGCTTGGGGTTTAGGGTTTAGGGTTTAGGGGTTTAGGGGTTTAGGGGTTTAGGGTTTAGGGTATCCCTATCTTTCTAGGCTTCATGAAAGAGGGGAATCTGGGATATCCCAACCTTATGGTGTTTGTTTAGGTCCTTTTCTGGGTCCCCAGTGAGGCGCGGGCAGCTTCTACAGCTACCCCTACATCGACCTCGGCTTCACGATGCTCCAGGAGGTGGAGAGAGGAAGTAGGGCCTACATATACAGAGAAACAAGCAAAAACACAAAAAGGAATACATAGGCATATAGATATATGTATACGTACGCATGTTTTATGGATTCTAGAAGAGTTTGGCCAAAGGTTTCTATAGGTGGTCTGCATTAGTTTCCGTAAGGGTTTAGACGGCTCCTGATGCTGGTGAAGGTCTTTCGGGCTCCGCGGGAGTATTGGTCTGGGTGTGCTTGTGAGGACACTCCTCATGAATGCCGTGCTTCGGCTCTCGAACACATTCGCAAAGCGCTGCATTATCTCTCTGTCTGTACTCTTCTATGTACGTGTACGTATACGCACCCATATGCTAAGCAAATGTGCACATGCATGCGTGCCTACATGCAGACATAGACAAGCATGTAACTTCGTGCTCATTCGTATGCATCTTCACCCATACGCCCCCAGAACAGCCTATATTAGATACCCCAAAAGCACATAAGCATAAGCATTTTATGGGGATATCCCTACCTTATTGGGCTCATTCATTTTTGCTTATGTGCTTTTTTTGGGCGCTACTATAAGAGACCTGTGGGCCATGGCTGTGGGCAAGCGCGTGGTCGCTGTGACGGGCTGCACCCGAGGACCCAGGGAGACTGCACGACTCGGAAGTCCATGAGTTAAGGGTTTCCCGGGGGGGGTGGGTGGGGAGTTTTGGGCTTTAGAATGGTTTAGAGTTTAGGGTTGATTTGCTAGGGTTCAGGGTGTGGACTGGTTTAGAGTTTAGGACGACGATACCAGCAAAGTTGTGCGATTCAATTCTGAAAGCTTTGCCTCACAGAGATCTGAAGAGCCTACACGTAGCTCCAGCTGAAGAGTGACGCCGTTGCCTCACTGTGTGGGAGTAAGCTGGTGTACCCTTTAGTCTTTAGCCATAGAAGATGAGCAGACCGGCTTACCTTCGCAGGCTGTGCACTTGGAAGGGTTTAGATCGAACCGTTACTAGATACCGATTCGGGAGAGGTTCTAGTGTTCCGTATTGTTTAACATAGAGCCCTAACTGTACATGATTTTGGGGGCTTGTGACAGCGAAGCCCAGTGAGAGGCTTGGTGTCGGTTTCTCGGATCACGCTTCGGTGTCTACGTGAGGGAAGTTTAAAAAGGGATCAGGGTTATACTTCGATCAAGAAAGCCCTGTAACCTCTTTTTTGTCAGGAACCAATACCGTAATTCTTCGTGACACAGTCTGTAGAGTTCATGGCAGAGGATTTGCGGCAAACGGTTTAGGGTTTAGGGTTCAGGGGTTTAGGGGTTTAGGGTTTAGGGTGTAGGGGTTTAGGGGTTTAGGGTTTAGGGTGTAGGGGTTTAGGGGTTTAGGGTTTAGGGTGTAGGGGTTTAGGGGTTTAGGGTTTAGGGCTTGGTAGATTCAAACACTGGCAGTCGACTCCATGGCATCTCCCCGAACTACGGGGCAAAATTGTCGGGCCACGACCTCGTGGTGCTTACGGTTTGGCTTACCTTTGGTCATAGGGATCCTTAGGGGTGTAGGGGGGAGGGGAGGGGTGTAGGGGACTATATTTCCTTAAATAGACCTTATTAGTCCTTATTATGGGCCTTAAGGCCCCCTACCCCCCCTCCCCCTACACCCCTAAGGATCCCTATGATAGTAGGGAATGGAAGAATGGAAGTAATAGTAGTTATAATTGTACCCCATTCCTCCATACTACTAACCAAAGGTAAGTTGGGGCTTGTCGCGCCAATCGCAAATCCCTGTGTCGTCCTGTGATGTAGGGGCTTTAGTAACCTATACTATTTTGGGGGTTCCTTTTTGTAATAGTAGTATTAATGGGCGCCAAAACCCTATTCTAATTATAAAGGCCCCTATATTATAGTACCCTGAAAGATCCCTCATAGTAGCCCTTATAGACCCCTAAAGGGAACCCTATTCTAATTATAAAGGCCCCTATGTTAGATGGAGTCCAAACACCTTTACATCAGTATACCTTACACTGCAAAGCGATGCTGAGTGCGGTGTAAGGAATTTTCACTCATGAGCGGCTTGTGGGTTCCAAACTGCGGATGTAACATGCGTAAATTTCATATGGGTGTAACTACCCTCACTACTCTACTAACTAAGTCCCCCGATCCTTCAAGTAGAAACTGCTCATCCCCGAACCCGGAACTTGCACGGCGAGGAATTGGTCGAGCCCTGCTGCAATGGTTCGCCAAGGTGGGGGGGGGCCAGTTTCCTAGGGTTCCTCCTCTAAAGGGATCTATAGGGGATCTACCTAGGGTTCCTTTAAGGGATCTATATGGTTTCCTTTAAGGGATCTATAAGGAATCCTAGGGTTCCTTTAAGGGATCTATATGGTTTCCTTTAAGGGATCTATAAGGAATGCTAGGGTTCCTTTAAGGGATCTATACAGTTTCCTTTAAGGGATCTATAAGGAATCCTAGGGTTCCTTTAAGGGATCTATAAGGGATCTATAGGGTTCAGGGTTTCGGGCTTGGGGATGTAGGGCTTCGGGCTTTCGGGTTTCGGTCCTGCTGCAGTTTGCGTGAATGCTTCTTCCACTATGGGCTATTAGACCTTATGGGTACCTTAATCTACCCTTAATAGGGTCCTAATAGGGATCTTTAGGGTATAGTAGCCCATAGTGGTTCATTTCGGCTTCCAGGCCCTACCTTAACCCTCAAAAACCTACCTTTTTAAGGACCTATATAAGGAAATCATAGTAGGGAGCCCTAAAAAGGTAGGTTCTTCAGGGTTAATGTAAACACCGAAGGAGATTCTGTTTCGTCCGTGCTTTTTGTGTTCAGTTCGTCCTGCATGCACAGCCTTTGGAGCTTTCGGGTTGTAAGTTATAAGTGTTAGGGCTCGGGGTTTCAGGGGTTGGAGTTTGGGGTTTAGGGTTTCAGAGTTTTCAGGATTCTTGTGTTTGGGGTTAAGGGTTCCGGATTTAGGGTTAAGGCATAGCGTCTTGGGTGGTCTTGGGTGGGGTACTGGGTGCCCGCATGCTTTGCCGTACAGCTTCGCCCGGTATGTCATACGCCTGCGTACACGGAATCCGGTGATAGTTCCTCAAAGGCCCCTACAGCATAGATAGGGACTGCGAAAGACATCTCGTCCTTCATTCGCCAAGCTCTACTTGAGCCATAAAGACCCGAAGCCCTGAACCCCAAGCCCAAGCGATGAACCCGAAGCGCCACACCCTAGAATGTCACGTTTCTCCTTCACTTGGGAGTTTGCGAAAATTAGGGGTACCTTATTTTGGGGGCCTTCATAATAAGGATCCTACTATTTAGGGTACCATATTAGGGTCCCCAATTTTTGGGAAACTCCCACTTGGTGGCCAATCCTTGAAGCGTTTCGGGAGAGGAATGGGAGTTTCGGAGAGCCCGGGGGGTCGGTTCAGGGGTTCTGGAGTCTACCTAGGACCTAGACCTACTAAACCCTATTTTTTTGTAGGTTCTCATTATAAACCCTAATACGGGATTTTATAGGGACTCTACAAAAAAGTAGGTTCTGGTAGGTTAAGGTAGGCTCAGGGTTTCTTAGCTTCACTATCGTAGCGATGCTTGTGTAGGCTTGAAGCAAAGAAGTGGTGACTGATCCACATCGGTTCGTTAGGGTTTTACGGCTTGAGGATTCAGGATTCAGCATTAGGGATGATTGAATCAGCCAGCACCCACCGAGTATCCTTCAATAACGCCCTTATACGGTCCTTCATAATGGGTTTTTAGGGTATAATAGAGGGTCTCGGGTTTCGGGTTTAGGGGTGGAGGGTTTGGAGATCGAATCTGGGATTTAGGCATTCTTCTGAAGGCAGCGTTCTCAGTTCGCTGAGAGGAGCATCACGTTGCCGGTTGTGGGACCGCCAAGGGAGAGTTGGAAGAGCTGAGGCGGACTGGGTGAAGGTGTTGACATATACGCTTCTATGTAGAATGTGTGCATAAATATATACATATATGGAGACATAAAACTGAGTAGGCAAAGGTGTACGTACATGTTTTTCAACAGCACACACGCAGATGTATGTGTAAGTATGTCTCCATGCGCATGTGCATGTGCATGTGCCTGCGTACATACATGAAGGGTGTTTAAGTTTATGGATACATACAGGTATGTATCTATGTATATCTATGTTTTTGAATGTATCTGTGCTTCTGGGTGTAGACGCATGTATGTACATGTGACTATATGTGACAATCTCCATGTCTTTATATCTGTGTGTCTGTATAACATTTCTTTCTGTCGATCTGTTTGTGTGTATTTTACGTACACACACGCAGATATCTACCTTGCTCACAGAGGGTGAGGGGCGAAGGCTCTGGGATTTGGGGTCGAGGGTTTTGAGGTTTCCGGATTATCAAGGGAGCGCGACCTCGAGTTCAGGTTCGAATGTTGAGACACCATGGTTTGGCCGCCATTTTCTTACCCTGAGCCCTAAACCCCATTTTCTTACAGGCTAACCGCTCCGAAAACCCTCAACCATAATCCTCAAAGCCTAGACTTAGACCTCCGAGCCGAAAGCCCTAAACGGCCCTAAACCCCATACCCTGAGCAATGAACCCTAAAAAGCCTGAAGCATAATCCGTAAACCTTAAACCCTAAACCCCAAACCCCAACCCTAGGCAATGAACCCCAACAGCCTCGACCCTACAAGCCTGAAACTGGCGAGGACCTGACTCAGTCGACTTCTGCTTCGATTTTGGAGTTTGTCAAAGGGGAAAAGGAGGGACCCTTAATGGGGACCCCTACCCTATAATGGGCTATATAATGGGTATATAGTAGCTATATCAAGGGTATATACCTAGGGGTCCTTATTAAGGGTCCCTCCTTTTCCCCTTGGAGTTGGAGGTCCTGCAGGTTAGGGTCTGGGATTTTTGCCCTAAACCCTAAACCCTATACCCTAAACCCCTAAACCCTAAACCCTAAACCCCTAAACCCTAAACCCTAAACCGTTTGGATTTGAGGTTAGGGTTTAGGTTTCAGAGTGGGTCTGGGATTTAGGATTGAGGCTCAAGGATTTTAGGTTAGGGCTTAGGGTCTACAAGTAGGATTTTAGGTTAGGGTTTAGGGTACAGACAGGAAAAGTTTCAAGATACTAAAGTTCAGCAGAATAGCGATACGACTTCGCACGAGGCGGAGCCTTCCCGACGCTCTGCTCGGGCAGGCGGGTTCGCATCTCGAGGAAAGGTAAGTTCTTTTGCCGTTCAGAAAGGTTTAGGGTTGAAGGGTTTTGGGTTCAGGGTTTAGGGTTTAGGGGTTTAGGGGTTTAGGGTTTAGGGGTTTAGGGTTTGCTAAGGTTTTTGGTTTTGCTGTGTTAGGGTGTGTCACCCAGCAACGATGTTTGCAGGCCACGTTGTTTTCGGTTTTCAGCAAAGTGCCCTCAATCTTCAATCCCAGTTAAATCCTAGCAAGGCGGCACTGCCTGTTGCACATTCCTTTAAATCCTTACACTTGAGCTCCCAGCCTTTCACCCCACACCTCTCAGCGATAGCCCACTCTCGGCTGCGGTCATAGGAACCCTAAACCCCTAAACCCCCAAACCCCTAAACCCCTAAACCCCTAAACCCCTAAACCCTAAACCCCTAAACCCCTAAAACGCTGAGCTGGTTTTGGGGGTTAGGGGTTTCATACAGTCCTCGAGAAGCAGTTTCGAGAAGTATCTCCTTGTAGTAGTTCCTTTGGGGTTGGACTTTCAAGCCCATTGCGGTTATTAAGGCGCCTATATGACGGAACCTGCAATGTGGATTTCCGAGAAATTACGCTGAAAGGAACCTTGCTTTTATTTTTCAAGCCCCATGTTACGGCCTGGGATCTTTGGGTTGAAGGCTTTTGTCCTTTGTGGGCAGCTTGCGTCGTGTATTTCCGAAGTGGCCTTATAGGATGCGAGAACCACTAGGACCCCTGTGGTAGGGATCTTGGTTCTGACGATGAAAGGAGCTTATCAAATCAGCCATAGACCTTCAACCTAAACCTGAACCCCAGACACACAAAGCTCAACCCTGTAGCGTATGGGAGTTTCCGAAAATAGGGGTACCTCATTTTGGGGCCCTTATAATTTGGATCCTACTGTTTAGGGTACTCTATTCGGGACCCTCATTTTTCGGAAACTCCCATATCAACGAACACCAACACAGACAGCCACTGAGAAGGTCAACGTCTGCCAGGAAGACGCCGTGCGCCACTGGCTCGGCAGCATCGGCGAGAAATGGGGGCCAGCTACGCTTGTTGTTGTTTTTGTGGAGTGGGGGGGCCGGGGGACCCATAGGGCTTAAAGCTTAGAGTTTAGGGTTTGAGGTTCAGTGCTTAGGGTTTAAGACTTCGGGTTTTTTTTGTGGGGGGGGGTGAGGCGGGGGTTTGAGGTTTACCTGAGGTGGGACTTTCTGGGTTGCGTGAGCGTGTTTTAGTCTTTCGTTGTTTTTTTGTCTCGTGCGTTCGTTTGTTTGTTTTCATATGTCTGTGCATGTTGGGTGTAGGTTTTGGCCATGGGTTTAGGTGTGGGTTTGAAGGTGGGATGCTATGGTCTCAGAGATTCTGCGGGGCCTGACGAGGTTAAGGTGAACACTAGTCACTAGAAGCACGACTTGGACATGATTCGAGGGGGGGTCCGAAGCTTCAATTCCCGAAACCCTAAACCCTAAACCCTAAACCCTAATTCGTGTGTGACTTATTGGGCTTAAGAGGATTTTATATATGACGATTTTTCAGAGGCTTAAAGGGCCAAGCTAGCTAAACCCCATGAAGCTTCATGTGGGTGGTTGTCAAACTTATGGTCCCCTTTTGGGTACCCTACATAATAGGTGCCGTATTATAGTAGGGACCCAAAAGGGACCATAATCTTGACAAGCACCCAGGTATCAGCACTTTCCCTACAGAGATTTTGGGGCTTCAGGGTTGTCAGGGATTTGCGTTGCAGGATTGAGGCTTGAACTGAAGTGGTTTAGGATTTAGGGCTGCGTACGTCTGGAGGCTTCCAATCTACGACCGTTAGACCTGGGTTTTGAGGTGTATTTTATACTATAGACCAAGGAACCTCCAAAATAGTATTGGTAATTTTTTGAGCCACTATTTTGAGCCCCTTTTCTACATGGTGGGCCTTTGGGGCTTTAGGGTTAGGTGCTAGGATTTGGGGCGTGCCTGATGCACTGTGCAGCCCCTGAGCGACAGGAAGCAAATAGATCGGTGGATCATGCAGGTCGCCTCTAATTTAATAATTTAATATAGGGGCCTAAATAGTTACCAATATTATTCCTTAGGGTTCCTTAGTATAATTATAGTATAGTGGGCCCCAAGACCCTATTCTTATTATTAAGGCCTCTATTTTAGCTTGGGGAAGCCAGTTGGAAGAGATTCTCGGGATGTCCGACAACATACTCGCGGTTTTCAGCATTTGGGATTTAGGTTAGGGCTCCGAGCCGGAGGAACAGCCCTTGTAGACCCTTATGGAGCCGTTTCTCCAGCACCCTCACAAAGGCACCTACTTAACCCTAAACCCAAACACCTTAACACGCAACGTTAGCGGCTTTCGGGTTTAGAAAGCCATGGGATCCTAGTGCTTTAAGCCAAAATGCTATATTCGGGGATTTAGGGTTTATGCAGCCTCTTGCTCATAACCCCAAAACCGAACCCTAAACCCGAGACACTTCATGGAACGCTTTGTGTCGGAAGCTGGGGAAAGGCGTATCGACCTCCTCGTGGCCAGCGCCGGCTCGATGCCGAGCCTGGGTAGCGACCTGGTCAATGACTTCAGCACGGGCTCTTGGTTATTTTATTATGATTTTTATTCCTCATGTTATTCTTAGTCTTATGACTGTTACAGCTGCTACTATTCATATGGTTCCTTTACAGGTTCAATTTTCGCTTTGGGTTTTGGGGTTCAGGGTTAAGGGTAGAAGTGCTGGGTTTTGGAGTAAGTTCCTGGGTTTTATAAGCTCCTATGGACTTTGACTCAAGTTTTTGTTGTGGGTTGTTGGGATTCATGATTCTGGATTTCGGCTTTCAGGGTTCAAGACTTCAAGGTTCGGAACCCATTGTTAAACAATGTTGCGTGATATCATATGGCTGCAGATGTGTAGGGTTTAGGGCTTCATTCTGTCAAGGTATTCCGGCTGGAGGGTTCAGGCTATTTCAGGTTTTGGGGGATCGTTTCAGGTGAGGCAAAGCCTAAATTCTAAACCTTGAAACCCGAACCCCTGAATCCCAAAACACCGAAGCCCTAAACCCTAAACCCTAAACACCGAAGCCATAAACCCTAAACCCTAATTTTCCAGGGCCTTTGAGGCCTTGTTGGGTTCTGGAGCCGCGAACCCGAAGCCCTAAGCCAGCCTAGAACAAGATACATTGGAAGATAATAGGGCCCTAATATAATCCTATATAATCCTTATGGTCACTATTACAGGGTGGAGGCAGCTTCTAAAAGATACAACACATTTTGACATGTCGTTTGCACGTACTGGCGGGTAGCTACGTACATATATACATGTAATTTCGCAGGGACGGATGGATGGAGGGATGGATGCATGGATGTACCAACCACACCACACAGAGGCTTTTGGAATTCAGGGTTTAGGGTTTATGTTTTCAGTGCATCAGATAAGGCACAGCATGCGTGGCATCCCAATGCTTGCCCCAAACTACAGGACCAGAATCCTTGTCTAGGATCTCCAGTAGTACCCTTATTCCCTTTTTGTAGTCCTAGGTTCCTTATAAAGTTACCCAATACCAAAAGGAGAGGCCTTTTTATTCTTAGGTTACTGGGTAACCTAGTTGTTGGACACAGGAGTTGCCGCCCAGAATACAGGCGCTGCCGCCCAGAATGCGAATAATAATAGTAATAATAATAATAATACTAATAATAATACTACTAATAATGATACTAATAATAATAGTAATAGTAATAATAATACAGAAGCCTCAAACGATTTCCACTAGTGTGCTGTGGGGTTTTAGATGATTAGCAATGGTGTTTTCAGGGTTTCTGATAAAATATCCACTGTCAAGGAGCCCAAAACGCTATTGTATTCATGAATCAAGGCCCGTATGGTAACCATTGCCTTCAAGCTTTTGTGCTCGAGGGAGTCAGGGTGTCGCTGTACAAAGGGTCTGTTGCCTCGAGATGGTTTAGGGTATTCGGTTCAGGGTTTGTGCGTCTAGTCTTTAGGGTTTAACTAACCTTTCCTTCATCAAGATCGAAACGATTTTGCTTGTAGAGCGTCGTGTAACATGCACATTGTTCAAGAGACAGGTCGTGTCCCAATCCTAGGCGCCATTCCTGAAACTTTGAAGTGTCAAGAATAAACAAAGAATCGAAAGCACCAGGCGTTTGGGAGACGCCTGCAGATGAGTGGCAACGAGCTTGTGCCGGCTTCTCAGAGGAGGTTGAACGATACATGTCCCACACAAGTGTCGTTATAAAGTCGAAGCAACAGCAGGAGCAGGAGCAGTGAGGAGCAAGCAGAAATCTGTAAGCAGTAAGCAGTAAGTAGTAAGTAACAAGTGGTAAGCGGTAGGTAGTGAGTAGTGAGTAGTGAGCAGAGTGGTGGTGAGTAGTGGGTAGAGGGCAGCAGCAGCAGCAGCAGCAGCAGCAGCAGCAGCAGCAGCAGCAGCAGCAGCAGCAGCAGCAGCAGCAGCTACTCTTTCTGAGCTTGCTATTGAAAGATAGTAGTGAAGTAATATGACTAAATAGCTGGTAAATTTCTGATATCGATTTTGAAAAGGACAGTAAGCAGAATTGTAGCAGCTGAGATGTCGTGCATGGTGCATCCTGCGGCTCAAATGATGACCTTAGACTCGGACTATGGGAGTTGTCGGCTTCGAATTTGAAACCTACAGTAATCTATTGAAGTCGTGCTTAGCCTCGTCTTATGCTTGCAGACATGTGTGAGCTGAAAGCTGTTCTGATTCTAGCCAGTAAAGCTGCGCCCACAACTCTCGTGAATTGTCGCACTTCTGGCATGTTGCATGTCTGGAAAGCCTCGGGAGAACTCTTGCTTGACGCGCCGGTGAATGAGCTTTCTGATGTACGCACTCTAAAGCGGCAGATCCACAAGTTGAGCGGGGTGAGTCGTTTTCGACAAAGGATCTTGAAAGACGGCGCCATTCTTGAAGATGCGTCCCATTTGGATGGATCTGCTGACTTGCAGCTACTTCTGCTACCATTTTGTAGTACATCCTACGAACAAGTGATTGAGCTGCACAACGCTGTTTCGGATGGGGACGTGTCCGTGGTTGAACAAATCTTGCAGCGACCGCAACATCCACAGCTACAGCTGGAAGACGGGTCGGACTGGAGCAAGGATGAGGACGGCAGCGTCTTAGATGATTACAGGCGCGCTCCGCTGACTGTTGCATCTGGCGCCGGTCATATGGAGCTGGTGGAGATCCTCCTTGAAGCCGGCGCAGACAAAGACGGCATTTTTCATGGTTATAATGATGAATACCAGGCTTACACTCCCCTATGTGCTGCGTGTGAAGATGGCACCCTGGAGATTGTTGATTTATTGTTGAAGTCTGGAGCTCAGCCAAATGGGATTTCCAAGAAAGGCGCCACAAAACCTTTGTGCGTGGCAGCTACGGCTGGCTCGCTGAGCATTGTCCGCACTCTGCTCGAGGCTAATGCTGACAAGGATGCCACCGACGGAGCAGGGGAGACCGCCCTCTGCAAGGCATCGCGACACCGACACTTGAATGTCGCAAGATTTCTTATAGAAGTGGGGGTCGACATAGATGCCTTCTGTGATTCTTCGGTCGGTCGCTGCGCTTGGCGGAACGGTGTAGCACCAATTCATGCAGCATCAGAAACTGGCTGTGTGGATTTGGTGCGCTTGCTATTGTCAGCTCATGCATTTACAGAGGCACGCAATGCGAGGTGTGCGACTCCACTGTGGACGGCATCATACTACGGGCATTTGAAGATAGCGCGTTTGCTTCTGAATGCGTTTGCTGAACTGGACGTGTTTGATAGATTCGGCCGAACTCCTCTGTGCGCCGCATGTTTGGCTGGCCACCTGTCCGTGGTTGCTTTGCTTTTAGATGCTGGTGCTGACAGGGATGCCTTCGATGAAAATGCCGCTGAAGATCAGTGCCGTCCGAGGTGGTTAATCAACGATCCCTGGTTTGATCCCTGGTTTAAAAACGATCCCAGGTCTTGTCTGGGGAGCCCTCTCTGGGCTGCAACATCCCAGGGCAACGTGGACATCGTGCGCGTGCTTTTGTCTGCTGGTGCGAATACAGAGGCGAAAACTCGACACGGCGAAACTCCCCTCCTCGGAGCATCACGAGATTCTCGCATTGAGATGGTGCAGTTGCTCTTGCAAGCGGGCGCTTGCACGGACGCTCGTGACGATCATGGTGAGACACCTTTGTGTGCAGCATCAGCCACCGGCAGCTTGCCCGTCGTGCGGTTACTGATGGAGGCTGGCGCAGATCCGACACTTCCCAACAACAAGGGCAACACGCCTTATCGCATAGCGGCAACTGCAGGCCAGGTGCAAGTCTGCAAGTTCCTGAGAGAAAAGGCCAGAGCTGCTGATGCCCCGAATCTCGAGATCAGCAACAAACGGCAAAAAAGTGTTTGCCGGAGAGCTTACATGACACCAAGAGTTGCAACACATAGAGGCTTTTCTAACTATGACCTTAACGTAGATCGCTCCTGTGTGTCCATGTGGAGGGCACTGTATCTCGTTTGGGTCGCCCTCAGAAGCGGGGGTTATAATGATTCTAAGTTATGATGTACAACACAAAGACTCACTCTAAGTACAAAGACCCCTAGACCCTAATCCCCGAATAAACCCATAAAATGAAACTCTTATCAGACCAGATAATGCCGTCAGCAGCCTAATACCCCTGTAAAAACCACCAGGCATCATGAAACCCTATGCTCACAAGAAACTCCGTAAACACGTGACAGAACCCGCTGTAAGGCTTCATAAGACTTCTTGAAGACCCTATCCAACCTTGTTCTGGGAAGTCCCTTTCTTGCTTGACGTATCAGGGAACTTAGACACCTATCGGGGATATAAACAAGTGTACATAAGAACCTGCAATAAATCACGTCTTACTAAGTCCTCTAACCCCAGTAGAACCCTTAGGTAGCCTTAACGAGCCCTTCAAGAAGCCCTAAAGCCTAAACCCTCATCCTGCTTACTAAGCCCCCTGATTCTTTCAGTGGTGACTTATCAGCCCTGGCCCCCAAGGCTGCTCAGTTCTCTTGCTTGGTTGAGTCCCGAGATCCCAGATAGCCCAATACCCCTTAATTAAAGAATATACCTTAAGTTATAAGAGGGCGCATCATGTAATTGAAGGTATATTCCTTAATTAAGGGGTATTGGGCTCTCTGGGATGTTCCCAAACGAGACGGTCGCGGGGTTTCGGATTTTGGCCCCAAATCCGCACTCCCAATCCTCCGCTGCATGCTGCGCTTGTTCGTCCTGTGTTTGGAACACTTCATGTAAGAGTCAAAACAGCTTGAACACTTGTAGTGGTATTCCTGGCCCCCGTAAGTACGACGAAAACCGCACAACCTTGTTCTAATTATTCACGCCCCAAACCCTAAACCCTAAACCGCAAGTCCTGCGCTCCTTGGCCCTCGTCCTTAAACCCCAACACTTTACTGCCAAAAATCCTTTCACCCTCAGCCTTAACACGCTTGGCTTTGACATCTCATCAGACTCAAGACGACAACCCCGAAACACCGTAAAGCTAGATTTTTAGCCCAAACCTACATTGCCATTGGGGGAATTTTAGACGTTTGGCCTCTTGTGTGTGTATATATACACACACATACACATACACAAACAAAGAAGCAATCAAGCAAAGGAACCAATATACAGTATATGTGCGTGTATATACGTAAGTATGTGTATGATTGTGTATGTGCTCTATACTAAGTTTGAGAACTGTTGGAACAGGCTGTTGAAGAAAGCTAGAGCTTCAGAACAGCTTATCAAGTCCCATCTATAACGTCCTTCTTACAACACAGAAAGCATCCGAAGCCTCTACACTCCTGTAATATAGAAGCCTGAATCATTACCAACATTATTTCTTTGAGCTCCTTATCACAACTCTACCATAAAGGAGCGCAAAACCCTCTTCTAGTTTCTTTAGGCCCGCACCAAAAATGACCCTGGACACTGAGCCTTACTCTAGTGTTTCAAGTAACTTCAAAGTTATCGCTCAGGGTTTTATGTTTTTCATCGGGGTTCATAGGGGTTTACATGTGGTAACTACGTCACCGTCCGATCCCACAGCAAGTTCATGTTTCCTGTCACCTCCACTTAGAATATGAGTTGAGGGTTCTGAGGGCACAGGCCCTAAACCCTAACCCCTGAACCCTCTAGGCTCAGAGGTTTAGGTCCAAAAGGTTTAGGAATGCAGGGGAACGCTTGCGGCGGTTTGGGTCTTGGGGGCCTGGGGTTTAGGGTTGGTGTAGGGCTGAAGGTTCATGGTTCTTTACAGCTTGGGATTCAGGATTTCTTTTGGGTCTTGGGTTTGGGGTTTCTTTAGGGCCCAGGCGCTCAAGCCCAACCCCAAGTTCTTCTTAGGACATCAACATACTCGGCACCGCCCGCGTGGTGCGCCACGCTGTGCCGCTACTTAAGTCCCCCGGCTGGGAGTGCATTGGGTTCCCCCAAGTGGGGCTTGCTGAAGGTAGTATAGGGGCGTTTCCGAAAATTAGTGGGGTACCTTATTGTGGGGTCCTTCTATTAAGGATCCTACTGTTTAGGGTGCTTTTTTAGGATCCCCTCTTTTCGGAACCTCCCGTATAGAGGTTTCTTCGTCTTCCCTACTATAGCTATGGCAGAAGATTTGCCAGAGCGAGGTTCTGTTTTTTAATTTAAGGCCCGTTAGAAAATCTAATGATTCCTCTCTATAGTATCCTTAGGAATTCTTTTTTGTATTTTAGTTCAGAGCAAACCCAAGAGAATATTAACCATTCTATTTTGATTATGGTTCTAAGGAGGGTACAGCTCTATCTGCGAGGCACTATAATGCAATGTAGGAACCTGATTAAGAAACCCTGGGCCTATAACCCCAAATTATTAGGATCCATATAAGGAGCCCCAACAAAGGCCCAAGGTTTCTTAATCAAGTTCCTACATTAGGTTTTTTTGCCAAAGCCTTGGGGTTCAGGGAAGCCCCAGTAGTTGGAAGAATCAGGTTATTAGGTTTTTTTGCCAAAGCCTTGGGGTTTAGGAGCCTCAATCGTTGCAAGAAAGAGGCCTTGAAGGGGTGTAGTTATCGTCTCGCACGCTCAATTTACAGTAGGGTTTAGGGTTTAGGTTACAGTAGGGTTACATCAGTACTCCAGGTGTTTTCTGTTGGGGTTATAGAATTTGGAGGAGGTGAAAGCACGTGCTCTTGTTGTAGAGGAGCCTAGGCAGGGAAATCCCCTCTGCTGCTTGTTTGACGGGTCTTAAGATACAGTAGAAGCTTAAAACTTGGAAACCCCATAGCCTCAATCCCTAAGAGTAATGTATAGGGAGTCCCAGCACTATTTGGCCTTTATCCGGTTTCCAACTTTATGGGGTTTACCATAAAATAACATGCGTCATGTTACATTCCGGCAAGCCTCAAGGGCTGATGAAAGCCTAGGCACCCAAACTCAAATCCTACATGCGAAACCTTAAATCCGAAACCCTACACCCCCATCCCCAAAGCGTAGTTCACCACCGAAAACTTTACCCCAAACCTTGAATCCCTTTTTCATCTAAACTATTGAAATCCACACCCAAACCCTTCCCGGCCTGGGCAATGAGTTATTGTTGCTCCTTGTCCGAGATCCGAGTCTCAGTTCCTTGAAAGTTCCGATCGTAGTCCCGGTTAAAGCACTGTAAGATACCCGCTCGCCTGGGTAATTGCATTCTACATATCCCTAAGCTTAACCCTATACCCTAAACCCTATGTCCTAAACCCTAAACCCCAAATTCCTAAGCCCCTCCTTCCCCTACCACAAACACCCTGCTCTATTCAGGCCGGGAGGCCTTGTCGTCCTCATCTCCTCGCGCTATGGTCGCTCTGTGGCCGCCTCTGCGAGTCTTTCGAGTGGTCGTTAATTTGTACATGTCTCTAGACATACATCTGGAAAAGTACACACACATAGAGATATGTATAAATATATATATATATATATATATATGTGTGTATATATATATATATATATATGTATGTATGTATGTATAAATAAAGACAATATGTGTTCATGGTGGTTCATGTTATGATGCCGCTTCTACATAGACAGTACATACCAATGCACATACACGTCTTAGTGTTTGTTTTGTGGGGTGCCGCTGGTGGATTTTGTGGCGTGTGCTGAACGGAGTCAGGCCTGAGCACCAAAAGCTCCAGGTTTGGGCGTCATGGCAAGGACCCACAAAAATATAGGAGTTTTCGAAATTAGGGTTACCTTATTTTGGGGTCCCTATAATAAGGATCCTACTATTTAGGATAGATGTTAAACTAGGCTTTCATAGGAGGCCAAAAGGTGTTTTAGCCTATGGGGGTTTAGTAGGGATTAGGGTTCCCATAATAGGGATCCTATCAAGGAAACCCTACCCCAAGAATCTTAAACCCTCCCTTTTGGCCTCCCATCAAACTTTTCCATAGACGGGTTTGACATCCGACACGACCTCGTCACTGCGTGCTGTCGCCCACGGGCTACTCCACGGCAGCCCCAAAACCCGGGATTGGACAAATCTGAGACTAGGTGGCAATTTGGGAAACTTTTGAATTTCCCTTATGGTTCCTATAGAGGTACCTATTCATAAATACTTTTCAGAACCCCAAAACTACAACCCAGGAGAGCTTTATGACATAGTTCTGAACATGGTCGGTCCCGAGTTCGGAAAGCGTTCAATCGGGCACCAGCCCTAATTTCCGAGTTCAGAGAAGAGATTTTCCAATTCGGACGATGAACAAGACAGCTCGGCTTCAGGGTTAGTGACCCAGAGAGCCCAAGGGGCCCCTTAATTAAGGAATATACCTTAAATTATAAGGGGATTCATATTATGATTTAAGCTATATTCCTTGATTAAGGGGTATTGGGCTCTGGGGATTGGGCATAACCAAGGGTGGCAAACCTGATGCGGAGTTCGGGAAATGGTTTATCCCAGGTCGGAAAAGTTGTCTACCCGAGTTCGATTCGGAAGCATCCGGGACTGGAGCATGTGATCTCTAAACCCTAGGCCCGAAATCCTGAGCACTCAACGCAAAGCGCTCAACTCCCTAAAGCCCCAAACCTCGTACTGTATAAGGCCCCGCTATAGGGCCCTTGAAGGGACCCAGAGAGCCCAATAGCCTTTAATTAAGGAATATGCCTTAAATTGTCAGGGGATTCATATTATGATTTGAGCTATATTCCTTAATTAAGGGAGGGGTCTTGGGCTCTCTGGGGAACTCTTAACTACATCCGCGCGGGGTCTGTGAGGTGGTGGCTGGCAAAGGCTGCTACAGCGCGACGAAGTGGGCCCTTGAGGCCATCGCCAAGCGCCCTGGGGGCAGATTTCGGGTTCGTATAGGGGCCGAGAAGGGCTTTGGGATATATATATATATATATATATATACACACACATACATACATATCCAGAATGTGTAGTTATGTATATGTAGGTGCAGATGTAGATGCGCATGCACATGTATATGTTCACGTCTATGTTTGTGTACGTTTTTATTTCAATGATTAACTGCATGTTGGATATGTTTATGTTTTTACGTTAATGTGTCTGCCTATGTGTATGTGTGTGTTTATGCATGTTTAGGCATGTTCATGTACACGTATATGTATATGCATATGTTTATGTCTAAGTCTATGTATATGTATGCGTGCATGTACATGTCCATGTCGCTTCCATGTCTCTGTCGATGTCCATGTACATGTCCTTGGCATGTCCATGTCCATGTCCATGGTTTTGTCAAATTCTACATGTATGCATATGTGTATGTGTATGCCTGTTTGCATGAGTATGTGTCTTTATCTGTACCTGTATAAGTATTTGTTCATGGTACCTTTGTCTGTATAGGTATACGTATTATATGTATAGGTACAGGTATAGGTATATGTATGTGTATATGTATATGATATATATATATATATATATATGCATATATATGCATACGTATAGGTTTATGTGTATGTACATGCAGATGTAGGTGTAGATATACATGTAGATGTATATGTGTGGGTGTATGTAGATGTGCATGTGTACCTGTATGTGGATGTGGATGGATGGATGGCTGGAAAGATGGGTGATTGTGTGTATATATACATGCATATGTATACATGTATGTATGTGTGTATGTATGTAGGTGTACACGAAGGTACATGCATACGAGGAAGCCATACGGAATGCGGGCCTGGAGCTTCGTGTTCAAGGTTGACTGGGTTTTCGTCAGTGCTGTTGTCTTCAGTTCATGCAGTCCCAAGCGTGAAGGCCAATGCCCGATGTACCCGGAGATTCCAAAAAAGGCCTGTCGGAGAAATGAACCGTAGTTTCATATGAAAGGTTTTCTTCTTTTAATTCGACATGATTTGAGGCATATTCCTTAATGTACAGATTCCCGAGCCTCCGCCAACCGAGCTCGGGGTCTAGTGCCAGTTTGCGTATTCAGCCGAAGTCGGCAAAGCCCGAGCTCAACGTTTCAAGCCCTACCGAACCCCGCATGGAGCCCCAAGCCCCTACACCCAAAACTTTGAGAAAACTTGCATCTAAATCCTGAACACTATAAATGCTAAACCGCAAGCCCCGAAGCCGCTAAACCCAAAACCCTACTAAATCCCCCAGAAAGCCCAATACCCCTTAATTAAGCAATATACCTTGAATTATAAGGGGGCGCATAATATGATTTAAGCCATGTTCCTTAATTAAGGGGGTATTGGGCTCTCTGGGCCAACAACCGGAAGCCCAAAGCTCCTAGAAGCAGTGACCCCTGACGCTACACGGTAAGCCCTTAACCAAGGAAACCCAACAACCTATGACCTAAAGCCTCAAAAAAGCCCTAAGCCTCTAAACCTTCTAATGGATCCCTTAAAGGACCCCTTTAAAAGACCCCTTTGAAGACCCCCAGGAACTGTAAAAGCTCCAAAACCCCATGTGATTCCTAGGACTCTGGCCCTCGAGCTGATGCCGTCGCAGGTCGCCGCCGTATCTTTGGACCCGGGCGTCGCCACGAGTCGGAAGATTTTCATATGGGAGTTTCCGAAAATTAGGGGGTACCTTCCTTTAAGGGTTCCTTTAAAGGGATCTACAAGGGTTCTAGAAAGGGTTTAAGGTTTAGGGAGTTTCCGAAAATTAGGGCTACCTATTTGGGGGTCCTTATGATAAGGATCCTACTATTTAGGTACTATATTAGGGTCCCCTGTTTTCGGAAACTCCCATATAAGGGGGTTAGTCCTAGTATTTAGTACTACTATATTGGGGCCCCCCATTTCGGAAACTCCTATAGAGTGGAAGCCAGAAAGCTGGAACCTGGCTTCAGGAGGTTTCGTGCTAGGATCCCTTTTACTTTATGTTAAGGGCATGAGGATAATAAAGTTCCAATTTTCTGGCTTCTACGAACGGGGGGCTTTGAGTCATAGGGCTTGGCAAGTTGGGGTTTAAGGGGAACTCCAGAAAGTTGGAATGTGGTTTCAGGGTAGGATACCCTATAATTTACCATAAAGGGTTTAGGATAATCATATTCCAACTTTCTGGCTTTTATTTTAGGGGCTTTCAGGGTATTGGGGTTTACATTTCAGTTTGTGATTTCTTACACAGCGGTCGAATGTCTGTCCAATTCTTTAAGGGTGTTTCTGCGTGTTATACAAGCTGCACGGTTGCTGTGAGAAGCTTCTCAGAGTGTTCGAATGGTTTATGAGGGCTCTTCGAGGTTTTAAAGACTTTACACGGGCTGGATGGGTATTCGTAGGGTTTAGAGTTTGGTAGTTGAAGATTTTGTTTGGTTGGAGGTGCAGGCTGTAGGGTTTAGTGGGTTCGGATGTGTAGCCGTGCACCTGACTTCTAGAGTACAGCGGCGAACCAAATATGCAAATAAACCACGTAAGCCCTGGATAGCTTTCCGCATTGTGAGGACATCGCCACGGACATTGTAGCTTCCGGGGCTTGTAATATTGTGGGTCTTATACAATTGCCTTTTAACCTTGCGGCACTCCGATAGCAACTGGTAAATGCGGGTCCTGAACCGTGCAATCCAGAAGCCCGGCACCTCAGGTGAACACCGACATGCTCAACCAGAGCTCCGCCACAGAGGAGGCGGCTGACCCGAAGAGAAGCAGGGGGAGGTTCAGATGTCGGGCCAACGTTCAGCCCTGGCCCCAAAGCCTAAAACATGAAGTCCCTGCGGTTTAGGGTTCAGGGTCTAGGGTTTCAAGACCCGTGAAGTTGCAAAGCCTCAGTAAAAGATTAACTCCAAGTATGCGTATAAAACCCTTAGAATACCCATTGCAAAGACCTACTGGTACAGTTGTGTGTCGCCGCCCCATAAGATAGTCTACACTCCTATCGCCCTCCTTCATATCCTACCATTGGTAGCCCTCTGCATAATTCCTTATATAACACCCTCTGTATAATTCGGTAGAAAATGCCCTTCTAAGGAGTTTAGACTCTTGCTGATATAACCTTCTGAAAGCTAAGCAGCCAGGGCTGCGTGTGCACAGGAAGGGTTTTTTCATGCTGTCAGTTTAGCCAACTTCGAAACTACTACAGGGGCCGCTATCATCAGAGTGTTTAGAGTTTAGGGTTCAGGGTTTAGGACCGGCGTCATTAGCAGCATCTCAGAGACCCCATAAACCCTACACCCCAAAGCTTGAATAAACCCTAAGAAACCCCGTGACTCTGGGGAGGAGGCCGCTTGGTGTCGGCAGCAGCGCAGTCCCGAGGACTTCGCGGAGGCGGTTGGGCCGTGATGTGCCCAGTGGCAGGGGCGCAGGGCTTAGGGTTTTGGGTTTTACGGTTTAGGGTTTGGGGTTTAGGTTTGGTGATTCAGGATTTAGGGTTTTGGGTTTTGCGGTTTAGGATTTGGGGTTTAGGGTTGGTGAGGGTTTAGGCTTCAATAGTTCAGTTGTGGAGATCTAAGCGTTTAGGGACACTCAGGGATTTTCAGGCTTTGGGTCTGATCGATGCAAAGAGGCCTGGAGTAGGCCGAACAAATGCAAAACCAGCAACTACGCGCGAATATAATACAGCACAGTATAGTATAGTCCAAAAGTGTGCTAGGACATAATGCGGTATAATGTAACGAATCAGAAACGAAAGCGTGCGCGTCAGCAACAACGGCCGCCCGCATCAGCAACGCAACCAAGGCATCCCCGCATCATAACTTAAAACCCTGCGTCAGCAACTGCAATGCACGCGCCGGTATCTCAAATCGCCGCGTCGGCAACCAAAATGCATGCTTCTGCAAACCCTAAACCCTAAACCCTAAATCCTAAACCCTAAACCCCAAGCCCTAAACCCTAAACCCTAAACCCCAAGCCCTAAACCCTAAACCAAGGCGGCTGATCCCAGAGGGAACTAAATCCGAGCCATAAGAGCGATGACGGTTGCTCCGAGGCGCAGTTGCTCTTGAGCACAGACCCAGACCCCCGGGAGGATCTAGAAAGTAGGGTTTAGGGTTTAGGGGTTTAGGGTTTAGGGGTTTAGGGTTGAGGGGTTTAGGGTTGAGGGTTTAGGGAAAGTAGATCCCCTAATTCGGGGCCTTATCCTACTAAGGGTATTTTATAGGAACCCCCATTAAGGGATCTACTTTTTGGATCCCCTGCGGGGGTCTGGGGAGCTACGTAGTAGAGGAACCTTAACAATTGCCAGTGCAATTTCGGGGTTTCCTTATGATAGTTACAGTGGGCCCCCAAAACCCTATTCTAGTTATTAATTAATGCCCTATTGTTAACAGTCTGCAAGAATCCCTACACCAAGCGAATCGGTCCGCAATGCTATGCTACAAGTTGTCTTGAGGCCTGGACGGGCCGTGAGAATTTCTTTGAACCCTAGCACTTTGCATCTGGAGCCCGTCAGGGCTCCCAAACAAAGACCCTAGCAAGACATCCCAAAGATTGGAGGTCCGGCGCTGCCGTTCGAAATCTTGTCTAGGTATCGATTTGGGATAACTTTCAATTTCCCTTATTGCTGAATATGGAACTGAACAATATTGGGGTCCCTTCAAATCGACACTTAATTGTTCTACAGCCATAGCCCACCACCTGAATCGCATCGGAACGCGTTTCCAAAGAGCAAGGTTCATGCTGTCGCTGGGCCTCGAGGATACCGGCAGGTGCCTTGCCTTCAGCTGAGAAGTCTTCCATTGCCAGCCTTTCTACTTAAGGGTCCATCTTCGATACGGACACTCATTTAGAAAGCCTCCAGCGTTTTGGGGGAGCTTGTGTGCGGGATCGGAGTGTTGGTTTTGCGACCCGAGGTTGCCATCGTTCGCACTTCCCAAAACCCGTCAGGGCCAGTCCTATAGTGCCCCCCCCCACAGCAGAAGAACGCTCAACAGCCCCTAGCCTCAGTACCTTGTTCTTTGGGTGCCTGACACCGTCATTTCATGCACCCAAACTCCCTCAGATGGGGGTATCCTGCTACAGACTCCCACTCTCAAACCCTAAACCCTAGACCCAAAACCCGAAACCCCGGGCTCAGGGTTTATAAACACGAGACCGTTAACTGCTTCATTCTTCGACGAAGCCCACTAGCATCCCCAACTCGAGACTCACGCTTGAGGGCCACGTGTTGAGGGATTGAAGATGTAAGGTCCAGGGTTTCGAGCGTTTAGGGTTTTGAGGGGTTTGGGTTTCACCTGTTCAGGGTTTCGGGTTCTGAAGTTTGGGGCTTAAGGTTTAGGGTTTCGAGGGTTTAGGGTTTAAGGCTTGAGGCTTTAAGGGTTTTGAGTCCCGTAAACCTACCTTTTCAGGGCTCCTTGCCTAAACTCCTAAACTTTCGGGGTGATAGGGACGGTTACAGTAGGGTTTAGCGTTTAAGTGTAGGGTTGGGTTTTAGCGTTTAAGGTCTTAGGGCCCGATCGGTTTAGGGTGTAGGGCTGGGTTTTATGAGGTGTCGAACTCTCGGGGTTCTGTAGCGCTTCGCCGATTGGGATTTATACGTGCTTGGCTCCTTCATGTCAAGAAAGCTTAAGCCCCAGACCCTGAAACCCTGAATCTATGCAAACCCTGAGGCTTATAAAACCTAAACCTCTAACCCATGCTTTCGGGGGGGTGTCGGGTAAAGTGTGGTCGCAAGGCTGAACCTTAGAGTCTAGAGTCTGGAGGACTTCACAGACAGACACGATGGGACTGGGTTTAGGGTTTAGGGCTTGGCAGAGCGATTCTACACCCTAAGCCCTTAACATTCAGGCCGCAAAGCTCTCATAAGCCCCAAACTATCAGCCCCTTTAGGTAAAGCTCCCACAAACCCCAAACCTAATTCCTTCACCCCTGCGCTTACATAATTGCCAATATTACTCGCGCGGTTCCTTTTTATAAGCATATACTACAAAGGAGCCCAAAGCCTTATCCCATTTGTTAAGGCCTCTAATTTACATATATATATATACATATAATTGTATAGAACTACATATAAATGTATATAAGTATATACAACAGTATACAATAATAGATAATTATATACCTATAATACTTCCAGAGGAACCTTGTGGCACCGGGATGCCCCGAAAGCTACTACCAGACGGGCGTGGCCTACAAGGAGGGTGTGCCCGAACCCCCCGTCTGGTCCATGTGAGGCTTGTAGGGCTTTGGGTTTAGGGGTTTAGGGGTTTAGGGTTTAGAGTTTAGGGTTTAGGGTTTAGGTGGGTTTAGGGCTTGAGTTTGGGGATTTGGGGGGTCACTCGTCTAGCGTTTGGCAGTTGGGGTCTGGGGCGTAGGTAGTTTAGTTTGGGAGTTTGGGGTCAATCGTCCAGCGTTTGGCAGTCCGGGTGTAGGGTAGATCATACTGCTGCCGGGTTTTTGAAGGGCATCTGTTGGGACATTGGTGAATGTGTAGGGATTGAGTAGCTGAGTAGGTAACCTGCAACCTTTTGCGGTTATATCGTCCTTCTATAATTCCAAAGACTAACCTTCATTATTGGGGAAGGCTACTCAGCCCCTAAAAGGTTGGGGCCTTGTTCCGGGGCCTCATGTGAGCCTTCTCCGTGCTGCCGAGGCTAGGGGATTACAGAGCTTTGCAGAGGTCGAAACGGCAAAAGGGAGCAGTTTCTGATACCGGGGGCCCCGAGTATCGGACGGATGTCGGGTGTAGGGCTTAAGGCCTGGGGTTTAGCCTGTACGACTCCTCTAAACCCAGGGAAGAAACTCAAAGGACCCCCAACAGATCTTCACCGCCTTTCAAAAACGTGGAAAAAACCCTACCCTTCCAACAACTAACTTACCTTTGGGTAGTAGGGAATAGAGGAATGGGGTACAGTTATAACTACTATTACTACCATTCTTCCATTCCCTACTAACCAAAGGTAAGCTAAGTCAAGGCCCGGTTCGAAACCGGTCGTTTGTCATTCCTTCGACCACCAGCCTTCATTGAATTGGACGGTTTTCGCAGGAGCTCGGTCTGTCGCAACGAATAAGACGTGACCCTCTCGAAGGTGCACGTCCTGGCAAGGCATAGCCAGGCCTGAACCCTCAACCCAAAAGATTGAACCCAGAACACTAAGCCCGAAAGCCCTAAAACCCCAAACCCCTCAAAACTCATCTTCCCATCAACGGAATGCAAGGACCGACCCGCTTGGGCTAACGGCTTTGGGCCCTTTCGTCCAGCTCACGAGGATGATCCTGAGCCCCCGAGGACTGTTTCTTTCTCATAGTTGGGTAACATTTCAGTATTTTATAGGTACTTAGAGCCAATAAGTCATAGAAGTTTACAGTTCTCATGTTATCCCAAATATGAACTGAACGAGGTTTCGGGGTCTAAGTGTTTCGGGGTGTAGGGCTTTGGGGGTCCCGGGTTTGGGGTTTAGGGCTTTGGGGTTTCGGAGTTCAGCGGTTTAGGGCTCGGGGTCAGGGACTTTATTGGTGGATCCTTGGGGGATAACTACAGTTATCCTGCCTATATCCCTACTTTCAAACTAGCCAGGAACCTCCAAGTAGACATGCTTCTGTTGATGATATAGATCCTGCATTACCTTAAGGACCCGAAACTATGAGAATTCTGGTATGGGTAATGCAGGATTTATGCCATCAACCGTTCTAACATGGTGGAGCCACAGTTTGCACTCCCTGGCTCCGGTTTGCTTGGGATTTTTTTTCCTTCCTGGAGCTTCGAGGAGGTGCTTTGCTGTTTAGGGTTTACTTACCTTGGGTTAATATCAGGGTTAGTATAAGGGATCTATCTGGGTACTATAATATAGGGGCCTAAATAATCCTATAACTTACCTTTGGGTAGTAGGGAATGGAGGAGTGGGGTATAATTATGACTACCATTACTACCATTCTTCCATTCCCTACAAACCAAAGGTAAGTTTAAGGTCTTCGCGTGGAAAGGCTTCTGCTTGGGGGTTTGCTTTTCAGTCCACTTCTGGAGGGAAGTGGCGAGTCTTCGGTTCGGATGTGAACGGCTTAAAGCTTCTGGCTGTTCATATTTGGGAGTTTCCGAAAATAGGGGACCCTAACATAGTACCTTAAATAGTAGGATCCTTTTTATAAGGACCCCCAAATAAGGTACCCCCAATTTTCGGAAACTCACATATAGGAGCCTGAATCTTTACGGAGGTTCCCACACTTCGAATCCTAAACCCTACTTTAAGCTGGCCTGACCTACGGTTGTGTAGGGTCTGAATAAACAAACCCTCCTGTCGAAGCTATCGGTCCTGCTGTGTTGCGATGAAGCTACTCCTAGCACTAAGGCCCTTAGCGCGGAGTAGTCAGGGGTCGACATGCGAGTTCAGTGACTAAGCCCTAGACCTTGTGCCCCGAACCCAGGGCCGCAAATCCTGAGCTCTTACGGAACCCTCACAGAACCGTACATAACCCGCACAACGCCTCGACCACCCCTTGCCTGAGCCCCCAACCGTGCGCGAGATTTCATCCCCAACCATAAAGGTAGTTCTCTAAACTAGGACCCCTTTTGTAGGAACCCAACAGGAGGCGGCACCCTGGAAAAAAGGTACCTAAAACTGTGATGTGGTATGATATGCTGCCATATATTCTAATCTACTATAATATGCCCAGCATAGTCTCCAATATACTTTAATATACTGCAATATGCCTATAGTATACCTGTGCTCAACCACAATATCACTTTACATATCTCATAGTATACTTTCGGATACCTATAACATACCATAAGAATAGACCGGGCCATACTTACGTTAATGGTATGACAACTAAACTCTGAGATACTATAAGATACCTACAATGCCAACTAGACCACAGTATACCTATAAGATCCCTAAAGATACAAAAATAGACTCCAATATACCTTAACCCCAAAACCCCAAACCCTAAACCTTACCTTAACCCCACGTAGCCTACCTTTTTCAGGACTTATACAGAGAAATCATATTAAGGAACCCTAAAAAGGTAGGTTCCTCAGGGTCCAGGTAAACCCTAAACCGTAAAAGTTTACAACTCCCCGACAACCCCCGTGGAGCTCCAGGAAGAAGCCCCGGACATCGGAGCGGCGGCCCAGGAAAGTCGGCTTTCTCATCGGCTGTGAGGGTCCTTACTTGGAGGGTCGGGGGACTTCGTAAGTAGGTAGTAAGTAGACTTATAAGTATCCTAAAAGAGACCCTAATTGGGGTTATGGTACTTATAAGTCCATAAAATAGCCAGTTGCTAAGTCCCCCGACCCTCCAAGTAGGGATGCCTACTTGGAGGTTTATGGGTAGTTATAAGTCCTAGTAGTCGAGTAGGTGATCTTCCAACCTTTTTGGGTCGTGCAATCCCTAGAAAATCCCTGTATAGCCAAAAAGGTTAACCTTTAGTTCCCCATGATACCTGACAAGTAGGGGTATAAGGTAAAAGCCAGAAAGTTGGAATATGATTATCCTAACCCTTCTATGGCAAATTATAGGGTACCCTACCATGAAACCATATTCCAACTTTCTGGAGTTTCTTATAAGTAGGATAACTATAGTTATCCCCCATATGGGAGTTTCCGTAAATAGGGGACCCTAATATAGCATCCTAAACACTAGAATCCTTATTATAAGGACCCCAAAATAAGGTACCCCTAATTTTCGGAAACTCCCATATCAAAGGACTTATATAAAGAAATCATATTAAGGAACCCTAAAAAGGTAGGTTCCTTAGGGTCCAGGTAGGATAACTATAGTTATCCCCCATATCAAAGGACTTATAACCCCACTCCTCTTCGACTCTGAGGGTCCTCTACTGGGCTCTTCTTAAGGGGCTTAACTTCGGCTGCCAGAACGTGGAGCTCCTTTAGGGGATCTATAGGGTTCAATATAGGGAATATAGGGTTTAGGGGCTCAGGGGTGGAATTTAAGTTGCAAGAATAGGGGAACCCTATGATTTACTATGGATACCAGTTATGGGACCTGATCAAAGAAGCCCTGGGTTTCGTGGTCCCGTAGCTGCAGCGCTGGGTTGTTTAAAATGAAGCTACTGAAGGAAGGTGGTTTTAAAAACCATGGTTCTCTGAAATTTCGTAAGGCTTTTTGGCTAAATTTTCGTGTATTGGGGTTGTAGGGCCAGGGTTTCTTAGTCAGGTTCTTACGTTACCTGGAGCCTCAAAGACTACAGAATCGTAGGAGATGAAGCCCAACAGGGTAATGACACCCTTAACTAAGTGGGTGGTTGTCAAAATTGTGGTCCCTTCTTTGGGTACCCTGAATAATCGGTGCCGTATTTAATAGGGGGCCCATAAATTATGGGCCCCCTATTAAATACGGCACCGATTATTTTTAAAGGGACCCTAATTTCGACAGCCACCCAAGTAGGCAATTAGAGCCACAGGTAGCTTCAGGGCCTCAGGGTTCAGGGTTGACGTCGAAGGTCATTGATGGCGTTCGAATGAACGATCTACCCAGAGAGCCCAATACCCTTAATTAAGGATTATACCTTGAGTTATAATGAGACTAATATTATGATTTAAGCTATATTCCTTACTTAAGGGGTATTGGCCTCTCTGGGAAGCCCAAACCTTAAGCCCGAAACCTTAGATCCCGAAGCCCTGAACCCTAAATGCCTGCTGGTATTGTCGGTTCCAGGGTTCAAGGGGCAGCTTAGATGCGGCTTCGCATCCCTGACGACCGTCGACCGTCGGGTTGCGGGGCTTCCAGGTTCGACAACTCCGAAAGCCCAAATCCTACAAGCCCAGCATTAAGCACCCTAAACTACCTGTAAACACCCTAAGCCCGTACCTTGGAAAGTCCCCAGAGAGCCCAGTACCCCGTAATTAAGGAATACACCTTAAATTATAAGGGGATCAATATTTTGAGTCAAGCTATATTCCTTAATTAAGGGGTATTGGGCTCTCTGGGAAGCCCGCACCTTGGAAAGTCATGGCTTCGTGGGCCAGGTGCCGGAGTTGGCCTACGGAGATTTCAGATTTTGGCCACCAAGCTCGTGAAGTTTCCGAGTTGCTGGCGAAACGCGGCGCGAAGGATGTTGACCCTTTCTTGACTCACCGCGAGCTGCAAGTCGTGACGGAGAAGTTTGGCCATCCGATCCCCATTGTGGAAGTGAACTTGGAGATTGATGTCGGTGTCTTAGTTGGGGGGATTCTGAAAATTTCCTAGCGAACCCAAGAGCCCTTGATGAAGGAGCATCCTGAATATGGTTTAAGGTAAACCATGTAGTTCTTAGTAGCTGAATAGGCTCACTTTACACGTTTCGCGAGAATATCATCACCGAAGGAACTGAAAGTTTACACTTTTCTGGGGCTGATGATCTCAGCAAGAAAGATCTGTGCAGGAAGTATTTCATCTCGGGGGTGATGCTCGCGAGCAAAAAGAAGCTCAAGGACGCGTGATGGGCTTGAGCGAGGTTTTGGCACTTTCACAAGAATTAGAGGGTATATTGCCGGCAGCTGTGGGGCGGTGCCCTTCTTGCTATTGGCTTTGAGCGTTTGACTATCTTATTTGTGGCTCGAATTGCCTCCTCTCTCAGGGGTTATACAACATGATCAGGGGTTCATAGCCTACCATTCTGTAGGTTTTGGTGCTGGCCAACTCTAAGCCGTAGGGCCTGGACTCACGAATTCCCCAAACCCCAGACCCGCAAACCCTGAGAACCCTAAATCCTCCCGGAAGCCCTAAGACGCTAAGCCCACGGCACGCAAGTCCACGAACCCGGGGGCGGACTTTTGGACTCCGAATCTCTCAATCAATCTTCGAAGTTAGTTTGCAGGACAATAGAAGTATGTTCTGATATATCATAGTGTATTTCGGTAATTATATAAAAGTATATCATCGTATGTTACAGTAGATTATGCCTCAACTCCTGAACCACCTGAAAGAAACTCCTCCGGAGTCACGGGGCGCAGGGCTTCTTTTCGGAGTTGCAACCGAGTTTCTGTAAGGGCCTTGTTGCGGGTTCTACAAAAGTTTCTTTACGGGTCCCACAGGGTTCTGTCACATTTGTATTTTATGCCTGCTCTATACCTGGAGATGGGGACGTCTTCTTTTCTTGGTGGAAGGGTTTTGCATGGTTTGGTGTAAACCTGTGTCTTGGATTACTTGCAGGACCAGGGGACTTAGTAAGTATGGTCATAGGTACCCCGACTCAGGGCAATAACCCCGCATAAATTCAGTTACCCGGCTTGTACACACGCTTCCTGAGCCCTCTAAACCAACCCACTTACTTAGAGGTTCAGAGGAGGTCGTTATACGTGGCTTACCAGCTCCTTTAATATGGGTTGTAACTATAGCTATCCTACTTGTGACTTGTAGCCCTCCAAGTAGACTTCTTTTTCGATGCGCCTCATAACGCTACCTGCTAAGCTGCTAAGCCCCTTGAAACAGAAACCCTATTATCCTGAAACCCTCAACCCTAAAACCTGTATTTAACCCTTATAACTTATCACCCTGCATACTCAGTCCCCTGATCCTTGTGATCCCTGAAGCAGAGGAAGGTGAGGGCCTCGTCTCGCAGAACTACCGCCAGCAGATCGCCGATGCCCTGACGAAGGCACCAGGCTCAGTCGAAGATTCATAGGGCTTGGGTGGTTTTAGGGGTTTAGGGGGTTTAGTAAAGTTTAGGGCTTTGAGGGGTTTAGGGTTTAGTGAGGGTTTAACGTTTATGTTTAGGGTTTGGGGTTTGGGCTTTAGGGGTGAAGAAATCCTGAAAGGGCCCTTATGTAAGGCAGCCTTCAGTTTTCAGGACCCCGAAGTAATTCCTCAGAGCATCGTTGAAGCCGACTTGACAGTGGCATCGTCCTTCTTGAGGGTTGAGGTCCTTGATTTAAGCGTGCGAGGAAGCATAGTCGACTGTACAACCCTTCCGAAAAATTCAAGATGAAGTTCTGAAGCGCAAGCCATCCTAACTATTCAGGCCCCTATACTAGGGCTTCTGTCGTCAGACCCTTGAGGTTGATCTTTGAAAACAGGATTTCCAGCATTATTGCCAAGTGTTCCTTTCTGCAACCATTTCACAGAGTCCGCTATGCTGTGCTACACCCCCAAACCTTATTCAGATGTTTAAGCCGGCAATACCAGGGTCATCCAGGGACCATACAAAACACATCATTCTGGAGATTCGGCCCACCACTTGAGACAGTTCATCCCAGACATAGAAGCCTAAATAATTACCAAATATAGTCCATACTATAAAGGCGCCCAAAGCCCTGTTCTAATTATCAAGGCCCCCACATTGTTTCACTCCTAAGCTTCCGAGGCCTTGTAAACCAGAGGGGCGTTTTCATAGATTTTTGCTGAGGTGCCGGACGCCAGCTCAATTATTTAATATCGGGGCCTTAATGATTAGTCTTAGAATAGGGGTTTGGGCTCCTGTATAGTATGGTCATGATAAGGAACCTCCCAAATAGTATTGACAATTATTAAGACCCCTGTAGTATTTGCAGCGTGGGGCGCGGTTCCTCTTTGATGCCCTACAAAAACCGTAAGCCCTGAAGCCACAGGCATTCTGAAACACAATACAAGCCCGAAAGGCCTCAAAAGCCAAATCCTTGAAGCCCTTTCCATTCCTTGCACTCCAGCCACAGCAGAAAGACAACGATCACGCTGTGGCGGTCTTAGTCTAAGGCCCTAAAGCCATGAGCTCTAAAACCGTAAATGCTAACACCTCAAAGTCCCAAATCACAAGCTCAAAGCCTGAATCCTCATGCAGGCCTTGAAGCCGTATGCCTTAACCCTTAAATCCCTGATGTAGTGGCCTTGATACCTAGAATAGGGTTTGGGGTATATTTTATTATACTGTAATTATAACAAGGACCCCCGCCCCCGCCAAATAGCACTGGAAATTATTGGCACCTATCGTAAGCCTGAAGCCCTAACATTCAAAACCTCCAGCCTCAAGCCCTAAAGTGAGCCCAACCAGGCCGATCCAGCGGCGGTCATCGTGGACCCCTTAGAGGCCACGCGCAAGTCTGGGTGTCGGGCCTTAAGCTCGTAGTGGCTGAATGCCCAGAGAGCGCAATACCCCTTAATTAAGGAATATAGCTCAAACCTTAATATGAACCCCCTTGTAATTTAAGGTATATTCCTTAATCAAGGGGTATTGGGCTCTCTGGGTCTCTGGGTGGGTACACCTCATAATCTTACCCCTAGAGAACTGAAATTTCACCCTCTTTCGGTGATAACTTTAGAAAGCTTAACTTTTAGATCTGAGTTCAACGACTACGAACCCGGCAGCCGGTTGCTAAAAGGTTGGTGCCACCCCAAACCGTGAAAGAATCCATACATAAATCCCGTAGACCTGAATACCATGAACCTCCCCTAGTTCAGAAGCACCTCTACACAGCTCCTATACAACTTACGTAAACCCTAAATCTTAACCCCGGGTTGAACCGATTCAGTCCCCACAAGAATCCATTTAAACGACGCTGCTTGGAGGTTCACGGCTCCCTCCAGCAAGTAGGCTTATGAGTGGGATAACTGTAGTTGTAGCCCATGTTAAAAGACTTATAGCCCCACGGGTAGCTACCCATGAAGCTCCAAGTAAGGGTTCTTTACTATAATAATATACAAGCATGTGCGACCATATACCATAACCTTATATACTATAGATCTTTATCAAAAGCACTCATAATGTATCTGATAATACGCGATAAGATTCCACAGATAAACCGGGTTATAAGAACCCTACAAGTGACCCTATAACATACGGTATCATACTATATGCGATAAACCCTTCTGCAAAAAGGGCCCTAGAAGACGCCCACAAACTATACCCTTATTAAGAGGACCGTAAGAAGTCTACATACTTCATACTTTACCCTGACTAAATTCAAAGGACCCTACAAGAAGCCATATAACATCCTATATAAAATGAAACCCTTACTAAACGGACCCTGAAAGAAATCTTATAATCTATAACATACCATGTTCTACAACCCCTGTGTAAAGAATCCTAAACGACGCCCTTATGCTACAAAATACGCTTTATTAAGAAAGGGACCCATGATACGCTACTATACACCGTTATGAAAACGGACTCTAAAAGGGGCCCATGTACTACACAATTTTCTTAGTAAAAGAAGCCTCAAAACACTACAATGTACTCTTACTTCACGGAGCCTAGAAGGGACCCTACTATATACTAGAAAACACTTATTAAGGAGTACCTTGAAACTTACCTTTGGTTAGTAGGGAATGGACGACTGGTAGTAATAGTAGTTATATTTTTTACCCCATTCCTCCATTTCCTACTAACCAAAGGCAAGTTATAGGATTATTAAGGCCCCTATATTATAGTACCCATGTGGTTCCCTTACACTAACCCTTATGCTAACCCAAGGAAAGGAACCCTTATTAAGGAGTACCTTGAAAGGCTAGGATCTCCAGTAGTACCCTTATTCCCTTTTTGTAGTCCTAGGTTCCTTATAAAGTTACCCAATACCAAAAAGAGAGGCCTTTTTTTCTTAGGTTACTGGGTAACCTAGAAGGGGCCGTCGAGCCTCCAAGTGCACCATCCCCAGAGGCGGTGCAGGCGCGAGCCGCCAGGCGCCGCTTCCCGTTTGCGGATGTTTGCGTTTTCGGATTAGGGTCAGGGGTTAAGGGTTTAGGGTGAAGGGTTGTGGGTTTAGGGTTGAGGGGTTTAGGAATGAGGGTTTAGGGTTTAGGGTTGAGGGGTTTAGGAATGAGGGTTTCGGGTTGAGTGTTAAGGGTTCAGGGTGTTGTTGGCAGGCTTGGGGGCCCCGGGTTACCCAGACCCCCGGGAGGATCCAAAAAGTAGATCCCTTAATGGGGGTTCCTATAAAGTACCCTCAGTAGTATAGGGCCCCAAATTCGGGGATCTACTTTCTAGACCCTCTAGGGGGTCTGGGTAATGGCTTCAGGGTTTAGGGTTTCAGGCTTAGGGGTTGAGGGTTTAGGGCTTTGGGTCTAAGGTATCGGGTTTAGGGCTGATGTTTCGTTGGTTGGTTGGCGACTCTAGGAGTGAAGAGCCTATATAATATCGAAGCCCGAGTCATTAGTAAGACTCGTCCCTACGTGTCTTCAGTTATTTTGGTTTTCACTTGGCGGAGAACCGTCTTCGCATGAATGATTACCCCCCCCCCCCCCCCCCCCCCTCACCACCAATATTCGGTGGTTTGTTGGGGTTGGGGGTTGTAAGGGGCTTGAGAGCTAGGGTTGAAGGCTTTAGGAGTGCGGAAAAGTTAGGCCTTTGGAGGTGTGGTCACGTGGTTCCTTTGATTGCGGGGTTCCGGGTGTCACGAGTTTGCGGTTTGGGGTCCTGGGGGTTTCAGTGTGAGGCGTCCGGGCTTGGAGGCCTCAGCCCGAAACACCAACCCAGACTCCCGGGAGGATCTAGAATCTAGACAGCAATCCCCTAATTTGGGGCTCTAAACTACTAAGGGTACTTTGTAGGAACCCCCATCAAGGGATCTACTTTTTGGACCCCTTTCGGGGGTCTGGGCATGCCGGGCTCAACAAATTGAAGATGGGGTCCTCGGACGGCAAGCAGGTGGCTCTCAACTCCCACGGTTTAGGGTTTTTTAGGGTTTAGGGTTCGCGAATGGGCTTTTACAGCTTATCTACCGCACCCTCGGGCTTTGCAGGGGGCTCCAGGGGTTAGGGGTCGAGGGTTTGCCCTAGCCTATGCCCTACCTTGACCTACCACATCCTGCTTTTTGAAGGGATCCTATACCGATATGAGGGTTTATAGCAAGAACCTACAGCAAAGATATCTGGGTCATGGTAGGCGTTGAGGGATCGGAGATCTCAACGCTATTGTCGCCTGGAGGAGCGGAGCCACCCTGGTTGACTGGAACAAGGACGACGCCGCTGTGAAGGGCGCCTTCAACGACGCTTGGCAGGGAGCCAGAGACTCCAATATCCCTTAATTAAGGAGTATTCCTGAAATTATATTCGGGATCCTACTATAACTTAAGGAATATATTCCTTAATTAAGGCATATTGGAGTCTCTGGGGTGTTGAAGAAAGGATAGGTCACCCAATATTAAGGCCCTTGTGGAGAACGTTTTTATCAGTCAGCGGTGAACCTGTAAACTCGACACAGTTTATACTTCATACTTGGACCTCTGTTTGGAGTATTATACTTGACTACTTTTTTGGGTACCTGTTCCTTAAAGGAACCATTATGAAATACAAGTCTATACTTTTTTCCCTGGTTACTTCAAACTCCAGTACTTCATACTTGGAGGATCAGGGGAGTGTGAGAGTTTCTATCTTCTCCTGCAGCCACTCTGGCGGTGTTTCGTATGGAAGCTTGGATAATTGCCACTACTATTCCTAAGAGGATTCCATATTACATGGTTTATTCCATACCACAAAGTCCTAGCCTAGTTTTTATTCAGGCCCCTACATTGCCCTAAACCCATAGCCCAGCAGACCCAGCAGCTCTTTAGCGAGGACTGTACTGCACTTTCAAGTTTTTTTGCAGGATCCCTCTCATCGCTTGATGTGTAATTCTCACTTAACGGCCTTGGGGCTGTCTGAGAAGCTTTAACTCCAAACCCTGAACCCTAAACTGCCCCAAACCCGAAGGCCTTAAACTACTCAACCCCTACCTTAACCCCACGTAACCTACTTTTTTAAGGACTTATATAAAGAAATCATATTCAGGAACCCTAAAAAGGTAGGTTCCTTAGGGTCCAGGTAGACCCTCAGTCGTGAACCCCAAAGCCGAGAAACTGAGGACGTCGTCGACATGGTGCGTGAGTGTGATGTCATCGTCAGCTTCTCAAGCAGCACGAAGACTTGGTTTGGCTGGGTTTTTGCGAGGGATAGGGAGGGCGTTCAGTTTAGGGTCCAGGGAGAAACCCCTCCTGAACTCAAAGCCCCAAGCCCCCAACCCCCTAACCCCTAAAACCGCCCATCCCCCCCCCCCCCCCGCCAAACCCTAAACCCTTCAAAGCCCTAAAACCCCTTAAAACCAACCCTAAACTCAAAGCTTCTCAGGCAACCTCCCCGAGGCCTCCATGGGCAGCGCCGTGGAACTCTGGGAGGCCCCGGAAGACGGGAGGTTTAGGGTTTAGGGTTTAGGGTTTAGGGTTTAGGGTTTAGGGTTCAGGGTTCAGGGTTTAGGGTTTAGGGGTTAGGGTTTAGGGTTTTGGGTTTTGGAAGGGGGCTCCTTCGTAGCTGAGTAGCTGAGTACGTAACCTGTAACCTTTTGGGGTTCTATCGTAAATAGGTTTAGGTTTTGGATGCTTTTTGAGGGGCCCCTTAGTAGCTGAGTAGATGCAGTTTACACTTCTTGGGATAATATTACCCACTACAAAAGTGAAAGTGTACACTTTTTGGGGCTTATGAACTCAGCAACTAAGTTTTAAAGGGCTCCGGCAAGGGATGGGTGTAGGGTTTGGGGTTTAGGGTTGAGGGTTAAGGATTGGGGGTTTGTTGGGGGTTTAGGGTTGGGGGAAGCAGGCGACACTTCGGGTTGGGATTCGAGGTGCAGGGCTTTGGTTGACAAGGGCTCCGGGATGAGAGCCCCAGATGATGCTGGGATTGGCAACCAGGGTTCCATACTTGGAGGTTCATGGGTAGTCAAAAGTAGGGTATTAGTGAAGTTATAAGGAGGGTAAACGGGTAGTTATAAGCAGGGTAGTAGGGTAGCTATACGTAGGATAACTATAGCTTTAGCTCACATTCAAAGGAACCTCCAAGTCGGATGCAAAGACCAACTCACATCCCAATCAACAAACTGTAATCCAGAAACGTAGCTATTGTATACAGGCATAGGCACCATAGCCCCGATTAGGGAAAGGGTCCTAGGTACTGTTATGACCCTTGTGTCCCCTAAGCCGCGCTTTAATGAAAAGCTGTTGGAAGGGACCTGGGTTGCTCCGCAGGCACGCCGTGCTGGGCTGAAGATCCTTACGCATCTGGGCGCACAGTAGCACGATCCATAGAATCGAACTTACAATTTTGTTTTCTATGCTTCGGATTGAAGATTTGGGGTTTAGACATAGTATAGTATACACCATCCGATTCTCGTCTCAAGATGAGTATAGTGTATTGTACCCCCAACATAAAGTTCCCATTACGACGGGCTGCGGCGGGCGACAGCAACAATGACAAGCCTTTTGCTATTCTCTTCATGATGCATTTTGGGTTTCCGACTGTCCACTTTTCATGACAGTCCCCTTAGCTTTGCGTGGCCACGTTGGAAATGACACCGTTCACTCTATGCACCAGGGGCTGAATCATTGGGAGTATGGGAGTTTCCGAGAATAGGGGACCCTGATATAGTACCCCAAGTAGTAGAATCCTTATTATAAGGACCCCCAAATAAGGTCCCCCTAATTGTCGGAAACTCCCTTTTTGCGTACTTTAACCCCCTATACACTTGTGGTATAGCATAGTTTCCGAGCCATGAAGTGTAGTTCTCAACTCATTTTATTAGACAGAACGAGAACCGAGGCGATAGGGACACCTGCCTAAAAGCTACGCCCTGAACCTTGAACCGTAAACCCTAAACCCCTAAACCCTAAACCCCTAAACCCTAAATCCTAAAGTCTAAACCCTAAACCCTGAACCCTACTACATCCTGAAGTCTCGAAGCCCTAAAGCTTTCGAAGCCCCAGGATCTCGCCGATGGCGGACAACTGGATGCTTCGGTCCGTCACGGACAGCTCAGGGTTAGTCGGGTTGCTGTAGGGGTTCATTTTTAAGGGATCTATAAGGGTACCCTTAAGGGATCTTTAAAGGTTCCTTTAAGGGATCTCTAGGGGTTGCCATAACTTCCATTAAAGGAACTATAGTGGTCCCATAACGGTTCCTGTGAGGGTTGAGGGTTTCGCGTTCCTACGAGTGTTGAGGGTTTAGGGTTCCCCTATAGGGGTTTAGGATTTAGCGCTTCAGGGTCTCGGGTTCCTGTATTTCGATAAAAGTTCCTCTCAGGGGGTTTAGGTTTCGAGTTCCTCTAAGGGTTCCGAGAAGGCTTCAGTGTTTACGGTTAAGGGTTCCCATACGGGTGCCGCCAAACTGGTGCCTATTGTAAGTCATTCTGGAAGCTCGGAGGTTTTCTGCCAACCCAGAGAGCCCAATACCCCTTCATTAAGGAATATACCTTAAATCATGATATGAATCCCCCTATGATTTAAGGTATATTCCTTACTTAAGGGGTACTGGGCTCTCTGGGAAGCTCGGGGCTTGGGGCCACAGGGTTCGGGGTTCAAGGTATTGCAGCAGGAGGTTCTCATCGGGTAGCTGATGGGATTCCGAAAGGGCCCCTCACACGGAATTGTGTTACCGCAGATCTTCTGACACCTCTTGAGTGTTGGCTCTACAGATAAACTTAAATCCTAAGCCCTGAACCCTGAACCCATGACCTATGAGCCCGAAACCCATGAACCCAAACTTCCCCCGGGAAGTTTGACTCAGAGAAGCAATCAGGGGACTTAGCTTTCATGTCTACAAGTAGGCTTGTTGAGAAGATGGCTCTATTCATGTGCCTATGACAGAATGGTAGCCTGCTTACCAAGCCCCATGGTCCAGCTAGTACCGAAGCCAGCCGCTCTTTTCGCTTCTTCAGTTTCAGGCGAGCCGAAGGTCAGTCTTTTGGTAGCTAAGTTCAAGGGGTAAAAGGAGCGACCCTTGACAAGGACCCCTAGGTATGTAACCCAAAAATGGCTATTATATACCCATTACATAGCCCATTATAGGGTAGGGGTCCCCATTAAGGGTCCCTCAGTTTCCCCTTTGATAAGTTGGGTATTAGCCAGGTGCCCTTGGACATGGCACCCCTTGAAACCCGCTCTTAAGGGTACCTGGGAGGCCTGCAGACTAAGCCCCCGCGGATCGTAGAAGCAGAGGACCCGAAGAAACACCCTAAACCCTAAACCCTAACTCCTAAACCCTAAACCCTAAACCCTAACTCCTAAACCCTAAACCCTAAACCCTAAGCCCAAAACTCTAAACCATTAACTCCAAACTCCTCACAATAAATGAACCCAAACTCTGACCCCTAAACTCTGAGCCCTCAACTCTAAGCTCAACCCTGACTGAGCTCCTCCCTGAGGATCACAACTTCACGTCGATCGCAGACTTCGAAATGAACCTGGCGGAGCACATCCCCTCTGAAGCCTAAAGCTTGAGGCTTTGTGGGCTCGTAGGTTTAACTAGGTTCCTGAGTCGTACCCTTTGCCAATCTTGAATTTTGGGGGTCTCCTTGTTAAAGCAGAGTTTTTTTGGAAAAGGGTACGCTTATGATAAAGAGGCTACTCAGGAACCTAGGTTGAAGTTTCAGGGGGCTAAAGGAGGGACCCTTATAAGGGACCTTATTGGTAATGTAGGGGCGAACATAAGATTAAGGGTCCTTTTTTGGCGGGTCTCTCCTTGTATCCCTTAAGGTTTAGGCTCCGTTTTGGGAGCTTCGAGCCGCGGGCTGTTTGCGCTCGCTAAAAGCTCCAAAAGTTCCATGTTCTCACCAAAGGCATGGGGGTTTCAGGGTTTGGGCTTTAGTGTTTAAGGTTTAGGGTTGTTCCTTATTCCTCGTCATTAATGTTATTATGATTCCTATTCTTGTTGTTACTATTATGGTTTCATGTTACATGTTAAACATGATCTACTGTTTTTAGTCTTACTCTTGTTATTACTAGGGCTGATCACTTTTTGTTTAGTCCAAGCCCACAAACTCAAAGTAGCACCTGCAGCCCAGGGATCCCGGAACCTGCCATCCCGCAAGAAGCCCCAAACCCCTGAACCCTCAAAGCTGGAAGTAGTGCAGCGATGCTTTAGGGTTTAAGGTTTGGGGGTTTAGGGTTTAAGGTTTAGGGTTTAGGGTTTAAGGTTTAGGGTTTAGGGGATCAGCCACCAGTTTTACATCACGCCCCTTTCTCCCGGAAACCTAGAACCTCAAGCTCCGTACCACGAAGCCATAACACTCCAAATCCCGTGTGTACCCGGAGTCGAATTGCAGGTCAAGTAGATCCATGATGACCAAACCCTCCTACTTTCATTGGGGAGTATGATCGGAGGCCTTAAACTCAGAAACCCGAAACCCTAAACTCAAAAGCCCTAAACTCAGAAACCCGAAACTCAGAAACCCGAAACTCTAAGCTCAGAAACCCGAAGCCCTGAACTCAGAAACCCGAAACTCAGAAACCCGAAACTCTAAACTCAGAAACCCGAAGCCCTGAACTCAGAAACCCGAAACCCTGAACTCAGAGACTCAGAAACCCTGAACTCAGAAACCCGAAACCCTCAGCTTTGCCTTGGCATCGATTACATTGTTCCCAGACTCGGGCCTGCGGCCAGAGAGGTTCGAAAAAGTCTTTTCGTCTTGAGGTTCCCTGAGACTCCAATATCCATCGGTTAAGGAATAATCCTTGCACTGAATATGGGAGTTTCCGAAAATTAGGGGTACCTTTTTGGGCCCTTACGACCAGGATCCAAGTAGTTAGGGTACTACAATAGGGTCCCCTGTTTTCGGAAACTCCCATATCCATTAAGGAATATACTTTACATATCATAATAAGGTATATTCCTTAATTCGGGGATGTTGGAGTCTCTGGGTTAACGGGTTGGGGTTTTGTAAAGGGTGCTATGTGCGTGTCGGTGTTTAGGGCTTTGCGTTTCACGAGTTTGAGAAGTTTGGGGTTCAATACTTAACGGTGGGCCTTCCAGGCTCGCTTGTTTCTGCCATTATAACCCTAATATAGGAATAGGGGTTCCTTTAAAGGGATCCTTAAAGGGTTCCTCTCAAGGAGGGTTCCTCTCAAGGGATCTATGGTAGGGTTCTACAATGTACGGGCCTTAATAATGGATCTAAGGACTCATTTATTAAGGCGTTTGGTCCAAAAGACCGTACTATATGAGGCTTTTGGGCTATTTTGATGCCCAGGGATACATTACGAGGACTGTCGGATTTGTCTGCTGTTTGGTTTTTGCATACGTGGAGGTTCATGGCTACTTATACGTGGGCTTCTAGCCCCCTGTTGTATGACTAGTATGGGAGTTTCCGAAAATAGGGGACCCTAATATAGTACCCTAAATAGTAGGATCCTTATTATAAGGACCCCCAAATAATGTACCCCAAATTTTCGGAAACTCCCGTATAGAGAATCCCCCCAAACCCGGTAGGGTTTCACTTGAGGGTTTAGGGTTTACGGTTTCGGGTATCTTCAGACTTAACAGAAACAAGAGCCTCTTGGCCCGAGTATCGGGGTTGGGGCAAACAAGTAACCAAAGCACCCTTTTAGTCCCTCTATTTTATGGCTGGTGATAAAATCAAGATACCCCCAATCCCATTTTAAGTTTTACCCCCCCCCCCCGCCCGCATTCGACCTTCAACGGAAGGTGATTGGAAGTGCAGCAGCACGACTGCAGGCTATTCGCGAGGTCCACTCTCTCGAATGCGGTTCTTTGCCGGGATCATCTTAGACATGACCCCGTAAAGAGGAATCCCGAACCTCACATGGGAGGTTCCGAATGTGAGGGGTACATTATTTTGGGGTCCTTAGAAGAAGGATCCTACTCTTTAGGGTGCCATATGAGGCTCCCCTGTTTTCGGAAACTCCCAGATGGATCCCAAGCCCTGAAGCCAAACACTCCATGAGCCCTACAATTTTGAAAGCGTCAAGCATACCGGAACATGCAGCGCGCACACACAGTACTCCCGGAGTTTCATTCCGAAGACAAAGGGAGCCCCGAATGCTGAACCACTGAACTCCAAGCCCTCAACCCTCAAAAACGGTTTAGGGTGTCAGGTTGGGGGCTTGTGGGACTTAGAGTTTAGGGTTTTGGGGGCTCTAGTAGCCATGCCCTGCATAAACCCTCAACCTTAAACTCTATCCACCAAACTCCTAATCCCTGAACCCTGAACTCTACAGCCTATACCTGAAGCCTTAAACCCTGAACCCCCCCCCCCCCCGCTCCTCTCTCAGAGCCACTGTGTTTTTACTCTGACGTATGTAGTAGCCGGGTGAGCACACTTGAGACTTTTCTGGAGTAATCTTACTTGCTGTGGAACTGAAAGTTGAAACATGGATGGGCTTATGAACTCTATCAGCAACTAAACTCATATTCCAAGTATTCTTCATCGGCTTTAATAAACTTAGGGGTGCTTAGAAATAATTTTCAGTTTTTGGTGATTATAATCCCTAAGAAACAGCTAAAATTGTATTTTTTGCCAGGGTTCTATTTTCAGTATAGTAAAGTTTTAAGATCCGGGCCTGGAGGAGGGACCTGGAAGAGGGCCCGGAAGGGGCATTATCGGGCTCAGTATAGGGGCCGTGGGTGTAGGGTGTAGGGTCTATGGGTATACTTACTATAGTCTATATGGATGTTGTGTGCATTGGGGTTTCTGTGTTCAGAGCATGAGCAATTCAGGAAGCTTCGGACTAAACCATTTTGACTGTAAGCTCTAAGCAACCCTAAGCCCTAAACAATAAACCCCTACACCTAAACCCTTAACCCTTAACCCTCAACGTCATGTCGGGCAAGACAGCTGGATTGAGTTTTTTGATTCTTGGGGTTAGGGCTCAGGGCTTTGTGGTTTAGGGTTTTAGGTTTCAGGGCGCAAGGCTCAGCCTTGCAAGCAGCGCCATGCGTCACACTAAACTTAGGGGTACTTAGAAATGAATTTTTAATCTTTGGTTATTATCATCCCTAAGAAACAGCAAAAATTATAAGTGTTGCTAGGGTTCTAAGTTCAGTATAGTAAACACCCCGCGGAACTTCTTCGCAGCTTCAGAGATGGAAGGCGAGGAAGAACCCCACTCTGACGGTGGTGGGCCATCCCCTCGGCTTCTAGGGATTTTGGGTGATCTGAGGGGTTTCCGGGGTGTTATTGCCATGATTAGTATTATTACGAGTACTGCTGTTTGTTTTTGTTACCGGTATTTTTGTCGTTTCTGATTATGATTGTTAACAGATGGTTTTTATGTTGACAGCCACCGTGGTTGTTGTTCACGATGTTCATGTTTGCACAAAACTGTTTTTTATGTTTTACTCGAACTCCAGCAGCTGGTGAGCTTGCACCCATTGGACATGGACTGGGAATTCCATTCCACAAGCCCTTATACAACCTTAAGACACCCGTGGAAACCCTTGTGAAGTTCTGGTGATCTGCAGCGGCACATCATGTACTCTTTTTCCTTGCTCTTGCTGGGAGTTTCATGCTTAGTTCTAGGTACGCTTATAAGCAGGGTAACTAGAGGTATAACCCATATGTGTAGTTGTCAAAATTAGGGCACTTTTTTGGGGTACCCCAAATATTTGGTGCCGTATTATATTAGGGACCCAAAAGTGGACCATAATTTTGACAACCACCCATATTAAAGCAGGTATAAGCCCGACATATGACTGTCCTTGAAACCTTCAAGTTCAAAGGCGCCCCAAACCCTAAACCCCTAAAGCCCTAAACCCTACGTAAACCCTAAAACCCTGAAGCCCTAAAAAGCTTAATTAAACCCCTAAAACCCTAAACCCCTAAAACCCTAAAACCCTCAAGTCCTAAAACCCCAAAGCCCTAAACCCTAAACCCCTAAAGCCGCAAAAGAGCCATCAAAAAAAAGCCTTAAAACCCTCAAGTCCTAAACCCCCCAAGCACCACCGGACATTTTTTCAGCGACGTGCATGCACCGCTTCGGGCCGAAAAAGCAGGTCATTGAAGGGAGGCACCAGATCCTTCGGCCGGTTTAAGGCTTAGGGCTTTAGGGTTTCAAGGTTTTTAGGTTTAGGGTTTTAGGGTTTTAGGGTTTTGGTGTTTTAGGGTTTTAGTAAGGGTTGAGGGTTTAGGGTGCAGAGTTTTAGTGTTTCAGGGTTTAGGGTTTAGTAAGCCTTAAACCCTAAACTCTAAGCCTGAACCCCTACAGGACAAGCTCTCTAAAGCCCGGAAAAGCCGCAAAGCCCTAAGCCCGAAACCCTAAAAGCTACAGGAGCAACTCCCTAAACCCTGCATCCAACTCCTCGGTGCGCTGCCATGTGGAGCATTGACGCCGCAAGCGGCCGTGGATGTGCACATGGCCGGTTCTTCCAACTTGTCGACAGAGCCACCCTGGCTTGAAAGTATTATTGGATTTCATAAGGTTGGATCAGGTTTTTAAGGTTTCTAAAGGGCCATCAAGGGTCTTGTAGCATTTGGTA